GCCACCACACACACATTAACGAGCTCAGACGGTGAATATCAGCGTGTTGACAGCTTTGGCAGTAGTAGGTCAAGCATTCACAAAGTAACTAAGACCTAATCAATTGTTGTGATAAGGATCTGGAAGAACTGAAAGCCTGTACGCAGCTGGGTCGCACCACTGATAAACAGCAAGGATCTGGTGCAGATATCAAGGCAAGAATTGACAAAGCAAAAGGAACATTTCTACAAGTAAGGAGAACTATAAACTCAAAGCAACTATCACCTAAGATCAAAGCCAGAATGTGCGACAACAAAATTTAAACATTTTTGTTATGCTGAGCTGAAAAGTGAAGGATTGCCAACGTTCTCACCGATGATGCACAGATATTTATAAATTGTTGTCCATGTAAAATGAGTAGATATATTGTACAGAGTGATGATGTACTCTGGCAAAGAACAAACTAGCTGCCAATGGAAGAGAAATACATAAAAGACGATCGAGGTAGTTCAGACACACTTTTGTAAGTCATCAAACTGCCTCACGACAAAACTGTGAAACAGAATTATCAAGAAACAAAAAAGGAGGTGGGTCAAGGAACACCTGGCTTCGGGAATTAGAGTTAAACATTTGAACTACTTTAAGAGCTTGGTAACGACTGGAAAGGATTGCCCAAAACCAGCAGTGTTTCGCGAGATCCCATAAAAAGACCAATTAGTTCCCGAAAAGCTAAGTTTGGAGAAAAATTAATATAAATACGTAGTGGGTTTAGGAATAATGGGGCCATTACCGGCCAATGGGGAATTTAGTTCGAGAATGTATGATGGTTGCACGCAATTGTAATTTCTCCAAAGTTGCTCTACACCTGAGATAATACCGTCCAGTGGTTGGATTACCTTTCCTATATTCTACAGACGAATAACATGACCGTAACAGAAAAACATGTAGGTAAAAGCTCCATTTAGTATCCACTAGCTAGTCACAATAATTTTGAATATACGTAGAATATCGTCTGTTGAAGACAAAGCAAAAAATATGAGTAAACAACACCCTTAACTCCATGTAATGGAGTCTATTGGAGAGAAGAGATACATCGCTGCATGGGCCAATCCATGGTGTTCGGTTAATTGATACACGTTTGATCGTCCCTGATTTTGACGAGGATCGGTTAACTCTTTGATATTTAGTTACCCGACTGACGGATGATCTGCTTAGGGCTCAGTGACATTGTAGAATTCGGTCTGAAGAATGTAGAAATATGGTCTACTTCGGTGTTGTTACTGTTGTAATAGCAGATCTAATTGAGAAGTTGATTTGTCATTATTTGACTGCCTACAAGTTACGGTCCAGAAATATTCATTCAATAAATGTTAATTTTGTTAGCAGATTTCAGAGCTTTTATCTTGAACTCTTGTTTAACTAACAACTACCTGATGGTTTGGATATTATATCAGTGCAGTACGATAATATTTCGATGAGGTGACTTCATCATCTTAACTATGTTAAGCGTCTTTATAGGCAACTGATATGATAGCCTAATTCATGGAAACGAATACACCAAAGATAATGACTATGATGTGTTTGATGGAAAATGTTGGAGGCGGTTCAAATAATTGTTAAATTCAAATGGCATAGAAATGACATGATGCAACGCCTGTACAAGCCAAGCTAACATGTACTATGAGAAAGAGTATAAAATATAAAATCTTGACAAAAAAAATTTAAAAGTTTGGACATGACTTATGGAACTAGAGTTAAGAACACAGTGGGTATAATTTAGAAATTTATTAAGTGGTTGCTGTAGTTTGCTTAGTAACATTCATAAATATGTAATAATGGTAATCAAAACTAAGGAGTTTCAAATTTATCTTGATTCTGATGTCGTTGAATTAAAAGCAACACACCTTCTCACAGTAGTATGTTGTCATTGAGAGTGGTTCATGTGAAATAAATTTATTTAGTCTAAGCTAAAACATATACACGTTAAGAAGTAGCAGAAACATGGTCAGTAGTCAAACTTCTTGGATTATTTTGGAAATTAAGATAATCCAATAGATTTCACGTATGGTAAGCCATTTGTGAAATATTACAGATAAAAAATGAACCGGGTACACATGCAATACTGCAACTAAATCCACGGTGCGTTATGATGTTAACCTTTTGCCATTCGGTCGATTCAGTACAAATCCAAGAGTCCAGTTAAATATGTGGCCATTACTGTATGAACTATCTAAAATGAGCTGAATATTGCGGAATTTTCACAACTTAAACTCACCATAAGTTTTAGGATTATTGTCTTTGTTGTTTGGCAATGGAACTCGGAAACTGGAAATTAGGCAGACACTGGTCTATGGAAAAAATACTAAGGGATAGTTCATAGTTCAAAATGGATTAAGATGTCAAGTGAAGAAACATGATGGAAAATTAGATCCAGAGAACTATTCAGTCCTCGCTTACAGTTATTGCTAGCGTGTGTGCATTTATGTAATTTGAGGGCCATATTTGCTGGTGGTTGGTTTTAGCGAACCTGTCTCACTGAAGCATGTGAATACTTCTAAAAGCTGTTAATGATCCATAATAATTAATCATAAACATAGATGATTAGTTAATAATATCGATCGAGCTAGTACGCTATGAGTGTTAACCAACATTACAATACGATATTACACATGAGTATTTACTGTATGGTTCACAGACTTTATTACGATATTCTGTGATGTCGTGTTAAAATACATTTGGTTATCGCCACTGGTGTTCTCCTTCACTGCAATGTGACTACCTAGTCTGTAAGGTCTCACGTGCAAGTCCAATCATTCTCTACAGTGATTCATCCTATCGTGACAATCAACAACAAAATGTCAAGTGCCTCTGACGAACAAGTTTTAGCTGGGAAGAGGGTGATACGTTCCATACAAAAAGTAAGAGGTTATACAGAATGACCACGCCTGAATTACTAGATCATGCCATTTCGATTGAGTGTTGCCGCGTTCACCATTGTTGACCTACTCTTAGTGTCACATGTTTAATGTATATCTTTTCAGTAACTATATGCACGGTTTCAGTGATCGTGTTGTTTGGAACCAATGCCACTCCGTATCCTCAAAATGGGATTGAATGCTAAGAAGTAATCAACTTCTAGTAGATGATCATACCCAGGGATCAACAGAGAGTAATGACCATAGTACAGTCATATTCGATGAGAATAAACTGAAGTACTATGTTGGGGCATGTACGCTCCACCCCATTGATACACCAGGGCAGACTACGTGGCCATACGAGAGCATCTTTAAGCATACATAGAATGTGTCCTACAGGCACCGGATCAAGCAGTATTACTCGACTTCAAAAAGACTTTGAACACATCACTGTTACGTCCAAGTTTCTGCTCTCGTCCGTTAATGAAGCACAGTCGATCAATTCACCCGTAACTTACGACCCCAAATAACGATAGAACCAAGTTTTAACCCAGACACCAATGTTTATTCAGCAACCACAGGGAAAAGCATTCAAAATGCCATATCAAAAACAGAGGGAAACAACAATGACCAAGGTTAAAAATATAAACATGCAAGTTCAGAAGTGGAATAAAACAATTACATCCAAAACACGGTTAGATTATTAATATTCAGTGTAAAAGTTCTTAGTCGGTCAAATATTTTCAGTTTTCCTGTAACAACATTATCGTATGTACTTTTCGTAGAGAGAGTTGCAAATACGGGTTTCACTGACTCATTTGTATCTTAGCTCAAGAACTACCTGGAAAATAGAATGTTAGTACCAAGGCAGATAGAGTGCTATCTGACGGGTCTCCATATCGTAATTTTCGGAAGGAACAATCTTAAATTTAGTCCTGGTCATGATCATTATTAATGACCTGTAAGATCTAATTACTTAGACGGTACTAATTTATACAGACGCTGGTGCTATGTCCGGATGAAGAGTACGTGAATGGTAACTGGCACGGCTTATTTATGAATTGTTATTGTAAACATATTCTTATTGTATGACTACTAAGTAACTATTTCATGTATTTATATTCCTCTTATTATAAGCTTCCGTTTGACTCAGCCGCTTCTCGGCCTGATCTCATATGATTGTAATTTGCTATTTCATGGTGCGATGCGGTCTGATATGCTTGTATATGAACTGCGTATATTTGAAATACAGAATTCATATGGAGGAGGCTTATATTGATGTCCTGGGATGGACCGGCTGGGTCAACGAGAAGTTACTATCTCAGAGAACCAATAAAAACTCAGAGTTGAATGTAAGCTGCTTGTACTGGCTTATGCGTCATTTGTCTGACCATATAAGCGGATGTCCCAAATTGGCGGTTTAGTCACGTGATATATTCGTAGGGCATCAGGACATAACCGGAGCAGAGACCTGAAGGCCCACAAAAGGTGAAAAAGAACTATTCAAGCTTCGGAAGGACCTTACGACAACAGAGGAGTGAACAGCAGACAGTGGGTTAATACGTAACCTGTCGAAATGTTCTCTCGTGAACATTTTGACTCACTGAACACAATACAATTACATCCTCTACAGCAATCCGCTCCCGATTGAAACCTTAGGGCATGATCTCAAGCTAGTAATCTCAGAGAGCCTAAACGACAACTCAAACTACATGAAAGATGCATAAAAGATAAACTCAACTTTCTACTTTACGATCTCCCTTTTTCCCATTATGGACTCCACTTATTTAGAATGCTCTATCAGCCGAAGTGTTCATAGCTCTCACAGGGTATAGCTTTTTTTCAATTCCATCTTCTTACACATTACCAATACATTGACTTATTTGTTATTCTTGAAATAGTCGTCTTTTCTAAGCACTCAAATTGCCATTACTGCGGTCACATTACAACCAGTCAACCTCCTACCTGGCATTATGACAGCTGCTGGTATCCAGAAATCTTACTACCACGAGATGCACACACTCAAATAAATAAGGAAGTGACTAGAATTAGTACAGTCGAGTTGCCAGACTACCACTCATTGAACATAAAAAATACTTGTAATCGTACTGAAACAGCAACAAGAAGCGAGGTAAAGATTTCAATCGGTTCATGCAAGCTCGTGCCAAAGATATTGGATATTAGGCTCGATTTTCAACTTCTGCGTTACTTTAGCAATGAAGTATGATGTCCTCGTTGATTTCTACTTAGTTGCTGTTAAAGCACAAATGTGTGAACTACAGTTGGTAGGACTTAACGAAGATGATACACAGTATGGAGTACGTTAACCTTGTAAACTTATAAAATGTTTTGGGACTAACGTGTGTAAAGGCAATTGGGTTTTCCTAGATTTATGTGATAATATTCTCATGTTAGATGCGGATATTAAACTTGTTCCATGGATCAGCTAACTAACAAAACGTGCTATCTACGGTACTTTAAATTTGCAATAGTCATTCTCCACACCCCGGCTTCCACAAAGTTCATTTGGTTGCGTGGCCAACGTGATGTGATTGTAATGAAATTTCGAAATCATTATTTGAACTCTTTGTTCCGGTGTTCTATTTCATCGTCTTGCTGCGTTGTTAAACAGTGGAAATTAGTTAACTTGCATGCACAAGAACATTTGAAGTTGTTTGCTAATCTGCATCAATTCCGTTCTCCCGATATTTTGTAAATTACGGATACCCGACCGGGTCTGCCTAGTATGCAATAGAAGCACCAAATAAATAGTGCTGGTGTTACGTGCATCATTTTAGGCGAGGACTGAGATTTGGTCAATCTTTTTGTAAAACTGTTCTAATTATGCATTAGGCATGCCAAGTTAACATCCTCACTGATAGATCTCTTCATTTTTGTATTGTGATATAAATTTGCAATTCTGGGTTGATATGAGTAAGTATTAGTAACATAAAACCTATCTCGGTATTTTATTCATATGGTAGTGTTCTTTTTTGTTTATCAGGTCGTAATGCGAGCTGTTGAGTCTGTTAGACGTGAAGTAGGCTCAGTCACGTTTCGTCTACTTAATGCTGCTCTACCTATAAACGCTCGCCACAAACGTCTTTTTCGAACCAAGTATATTGAAGACGTGGACTTACGAAATATTGAAAACTGCCTACTATCAGCTGCAAACAAAGTAATTAATTTCAATTCAAGGTAAGCCGTTTTCCAACCTCCATGATTAACTTGGATGTATTTCGCTTCATCAGAAGGCTTGCCAGCGTCCTTAGGCTGAGGTTTTTCTAAAGAACCCATATCAAAATGAATAGCATTTATCTAACATCACAGCTCAGATGGCTTACTCTCGAAAAATAAGTCAGACTTCTGCTGGAAACAATCATTGATCTTTAATTTGTATACAACTTGGCCACAATTATTTGACAGCACATACATTTGATCTGTTCGATAAGGTCGAATACAGCTAATGGAAATGTCTCCGCAAAACAATATACATTCATTTCGTTATAACTTCACTTTAACTCTAGAAATTTTAAGTAATGAACACATAAACTGTTAGCTTATTTTTGGGTCCGAAATAACGGAATAGTCATCCTTTTACATTATTGTGTAAGAAGACTAAATTTTAAGAAAAGGGTTTCAAAGGACAGGGTACCTTAACTAGTTTATTATAGTTCCTTAAGTCACGTGGATTTTGTTTACATTTATTTATATTTATTATTATTATTATTATTATTATTAATCAATATATTTTATGACAAAGCGGTAGCTTAGTGGTTAAGGCTAAGGGGTTTCAACCTGAAAGTCGCAATTTTAATTTTATTCTACAAACCAATTATTAGTGGTATTAGCCGTCCTACTCAATGAAAAGATGACTTAATTAATGAGTTAAGTTACAGTAAGAGTAATCAATAGATGTATTCAGTTTTATGACAATAAAACTTACGTCCTGGATTCTTTTGCTAACCGCTGGGTAATACTACTTGTTTATGATTTTATTGAGAACAATGAAATGTTAATAATACTATTTTATAACATTTCCCAGCCAGTCCCATGTCGAATGTGATCTAAGACCTGCTAAATCAAGCGCTTCTGAATTTCTAGATACACATGGTCGTGTTCAGGCACTCGTTGCCCATACTATTGAATCGTGTTTAGATAGCTTGTCTTCAAACCACATTAAAGATGGAAAACTGAAACTCGACAAACAAACATCAAAGAATTCAACGGAACAGGACGATGTTCAATCAAGTTATGATATCCCGTATAAAACAAAAGATATTTCAGGTTGTCAAAGGAAGAATATTCGGGGAAATAGAAGTAATCAGTTTTTGGGTTTTTCTTATCTTTTAAAAACATCATGCCATATAAGTTCATTCACACAAAACACATTTTTACAGTCTGTAAACAATTTTACCACAAAATCGGTATCCGTTCTTTAGGTGACTATAGTTTTATAGCGACTCACGTGCAAATGGGTTTATTCTCATTTAACTCAGTTAAGCCCTTTTGCTAACTTATTTAGCGGACAAAGCCATCCGCACTATAACAATTTATTGTACTCTTATTATTATTTTGTGCTTGTATGAAATACGCATGCTTGAATATTGCTTACGGCCTACGCCTTTATGTCACTCTGCTAGTCTCACTACTAACCGCTTATTTGATTCGATTACTCATTAATTTCACATGCTATATATATGTCCATGTTATTCATATGGTTGACTCTGCTTTCTCGCTCGCTTGATTGTACTCGATTACTTACAGTCGCTCGCTTGCCTGTTTGCCGTTCGACACAACTCTTAATGCTCGTTTAATGCATCTGTAATTTTGGACATCTGTGTGTGTGGTCTCGAAATAAACGTAATCAACGCTTCGTATTCGCCTTCTGAATAATATACCGTTGGGGTTAAATAGGACGGTTATCAAGACGAATTGTATACGAAGTTTAAGGGATATATCGAATACCGACCACCACAGTTTATCATTAAATTCTACGGTAATTCTAGACTGTGTTAAATAGTTTAAAATAGACCTGAATTTTTCATGTAATTGTCTACTGACTCGGTTTATTTTCATTCTGATATTTCTTTCATGCCTTTCTTGTATCCTAGCCATCTAACTTTTGTTCGTGTCATTATCCAGACCAATATGATATCCTTCGAAATTTTATGGCATATGTTACATATATAGTCTGGATCTTTTGTTTTTATAGATAATCTTTATTTCTATTCACTACTTCTAGGATATAATTTCAATTATTTGTTCTTACTAGTTCTAATACCAGTTAGAGAGAAACAATTGGTTTTATTTTTTCCATGTTATAGAATAATAGATAAGCAAACAAAATGGGTAAAACATAACATTATCGTGTCATAACTTCTATGACACCACTGTTCTGATTAGTACTAACTTTGGTCAACACACATTTATGTTAGGCTTCAAGTTTTCAATCACTAACTGTTCTGAACGACAATATATAAAGCCATAGAGGAGTTTAGCACATACTTCTATTTTACATATAAAAGCTTTAAATTCATGCTCATGTGTTGGCACTCACTTCACAATCTCAGTATGTTTGCTCCTCATTTTTATTTGATTGTACTTAAAACCATTTTTGACTTTTTATTATTATAAGCTTTATTCAACATTATATTTTTGGTACAATATAGAATTCTCAGCATGAAGTATTTTAACAAGTTTCCTTTTCTTATATCTTGATCGATTCTGGCGATAAATATTGAGTGATGGCCAGTTAAATGTTAGGAGTTCGGTAATCGACATCTGAAAAATGTTCATTAGTTTCAATGCATATTGCCAGCCACCATGATGTCGCTGATTGTACCTTTTTGTATCCCGTATAGCGAAAGGTTGTGAACTTTTCATAAACGCGCCTGAATAGGTTGTGAGCTTAATAGACATAATGATGTGTTGAAATAAACAAGAAAACAGATAACTTGACGAAATATCTAAATGGGAGGAACAGGTAGCCCAGATATTCAAGCAGGCCGACTTAGAAGTGGGGTTCAGTATATTGTTTATACTGTTTACACTATTATTATATACTTTGTTGTGTAGCACAACTGTATTTGATGTATTATCATCTGATTTTTTTAGTACCAGTACTCCTACTAACACTATTTACGTCACTTGTGACTGAAACTCTTTGTTTAGGGTCATCTCAATTTTATCCTAATAATTCATTCGGACGTTACTCTACAAGGTATCAATACCAAGGCTGGAATCTATAGTTTCAAGTAAACTGAGCATTGATTAGAAAATCAATAATAAGAAAGTAGTTATTTTTTTGTGATATCCCAATGAGCAGAAGTTTAGATTTCTGACGTTGATTGATTCAATGTAACTCTCTTCGTCAGGGTAACTAGATAAGTAACTGAATATAAGCCATAAAACATCATAAATCCAAATTTCTACTTATTGGGATATCACAAAAATATAATCATTTGCTACTCTGCTAAGTTAGGGCTAGCACGATTAAATTGACATATTTCAGGAGTTTCTCATAATAAGACTTGCTCAACACATAGTGGTACGTAAACCTCTATGTGTCTGATAAATTTCATTTATTTTCCTTGATTAATACATAAACTTTCAACCAACCGATAATTTTCATTAATTATTATGTTGTTTTTTGGTTCAGTTCACTGCAATACCACAATTTAATAGTGATTGTAAACAAAATCTAATCATATACCTATTCTTCTTTCAGATTTAGTTGAAAGAGATTCCAGTGAATTTTTCAACACACATAGTATAAATTCACCGGGATCGTCATTGCCTGTTCCAAGCGATTCCAGTCATTCGAATTCCTTGGAACAACAATCAACTGTAATAAGTGATGAAAATCCTAAAATAATCAATGTATCCGTACAAGCTAACATAGCTTCAGTTATTTACACGACACCAGTAAAATTACCTTCATCAAAATTTCTAACGATTTCACCAGAATTATTTCATACTCTACTAGAATTAGACTATTGTGCCGCACGATTTGAATTTGATTTTGTACGATGTGTTTCACGTCGGATTAGAACATTACAAGAGGCTGATGATGTTCAGGTAGGTAAAAGAAAACAACTATATAAAATCATTTGGTTTTGTTTTAATTCAATTTTTAAGCTCTTAGTGATATGATACTGAAGTTTATAAGTTCAGTTGTTATTTCTAATAAATCAAAAAAGTGCTGTGTATATGGTACAATATGAAGATTTCAAACATAAACTGAATATCTGAATGTAGCTTTGAACATAACACTAGATAGTCACATGGTATTATGTAAGAATAAACAACTTGTGTTTAATGATTGATATTACTAACCATTCTGTAGGACAAAACGATTTAAAAATGTGACACTGTTTTATAACAAAATATCTTGTAACGATATATGTTCTGAGACTGTCTCTGTTAATTTACGATTCCTTATCTGCATTTGCATTCATGTGCCATGCTTAATTAGTGGTTACCATTACCACACACTATATATAAACCTTCTTCGCTAAATTTATTGTTACTCGGTTTCCTAACTAATATTTACAAAATGATGATATTTGGCTAACTAATTTACCATCTACTAACATGTTTAATTCGCTAGATTATCCCTTTCCTACAAACAGTTTGTTCCAATATTACGTTCCTGAACCTATCTTTGCAATTTAGTTTATTACAATTGATACATCCAACAGAATTCGATCGAACATAATCATGTTTCTAATGTTTAATATTCGTTATTAATAGAATTCAGTCACATGTAAGAATCTAATTGGTACCTAGACTGATATCAGGAAAGTTGCCCATGTACCCATAATCTGTTCGACCAAGTAGTCATTCACGCAAAACATATGAATCTTAACAATAATTCCTATGCCAGCGAATGTGTAAAGAAAGGTCGATCAAAGTGCGAAGAAATCGGTGTGAGAAACGATGTCTTTTTGTCATCCCCTAGGCTCCGATAGAATGTAACCCGGATGCGATCAAGGATGAGTTTTATCACCAGTTGAGTGTTCATCTACAGGAAGTGAGTTCGACAGATATTGTAATACTAGCCGGCGACTTGAATGCTCAGGTCTGGCATCTAGACACAGAAGAGAGTCGTTTAGGTGGCCGATGGGGACTTGTTGGTCGCAGGTCAGATAACGTTGACCGTCTACTGCAACTGTGCGCAGACCACAACCTGTTTCTGGCTAGTACTAACTACCAATGTGCTACCTTCCGTCCTCCCTCTTCATCTCATACCTGGACTCAGATTGACTACATCACGATCAGTTGTCGCTGGCGTGGTTGTGCATAAGGCTTCCGTTCCTTTTGGATTACCTATCAAGACTCTGATCATGCCCTTGTTTGCGCTAATCTTACCTTATGCTTCAGTGGCCAACAGATCCATCGTCCTAAACGGATTGATGTCAGCAAATTGGTTTCAGCTTCTGTTGCAACTAAATATCAAACCGAGCTAGGTGCAAGACTAACTACCATCCCACCGAAAAGTATAGATGAGCATTAGTTGCATTTGCATGACTCCATGAAAATGGCTAGTAAAGTCGCTTTCGGCTTCGCGAAACATCCCTCTTATAAGCACTGGGTTTCTATAGGCTCCTTACAACTCATTGAGGCACGTCGGTCTTCTTTGAGTAACCGCAATTTTGACCATAAACGAAGATTTTACGCAATGAAATTGGGAAAAGCTTGCGTAAGGACCGAGAAACCTGGTATTTGCAGAATGCCAACGAGTCGGGAGCAGCAGATGCTTCTGGTAACTTCCTGGAGCTCTTTTAACTCATCTGAGTCACTGGCAGCAAGACGTCTGGTGTGAGTGAAACAATCTGTGAAGATGAAGGTATGCCGATGAGTAACATCTACAGACGTCTTGGACGATGAGCAGTTTTCTGAGGGGCAGTTTAACTAGTCTGCTGCCCCGGTAATATCGATCAGATTGTCCTGTCTTTCATCTCCAGTGATGACTAATCCGCTTAACGAGACGGAAGTTCGCAAGGAACTCCAACTCATGAAGCGCCACAAATCACGAGGCCTAAGTTACTTACCTCTGACTCTTTTTAAAGATGGTGGCGACTTTATAGTTATGGAACCGACTGAGTTGTTTACAAAGGTCTGGCAATTAGAGCGTGTTCCAACATCATGGAATGAGTCAATAGTTGTTCCTATCTTTAAAAAGGGTTCACGTCATTTCTACAACAACTATGGGGAGGATAAGTCTTCTTCAGATTGCGTCCAAACTATTGGCTTTCGTCATACTTCGTAGATTGTTCAAAACTCGAGACTGACTCGCGAGGAGCAGGCTGGTTTTCGTTCTGGTCGACGATGTATTGATCACATCTTCACCCTCCGCCAACTGTTAGGGCATTGTCATACTTATTACAGACCGACAGTCGTAGTGTTTCTTGACATTAGGGCTGCCTTCGATTCATTGGACAGGACTATTTTCTGGGATTGTCTATTGAAGATGGGTGTGCCTGAGAAGTTTATTAACATTTTGAAAACCCTATATACTAACACCTCAGGCAGAGTGAGGGCATACAACCACCTCTCCTGATTATTTCATTCAAGCAGTGGGGTTAGGCAGAATTGCTCAATCGCACCATTCCTCCTCAACTTTGCTGTCGATGACGTTCTGGAAACATCTCTGATGTAGATAATGGTCGTGTGGATCTGTTGCCCGGAGAAAAACTTCTCGACCTTAAGTATGCGGATGATATTGTCTTACCGTGCGATGATACCAAAGCCATGCAATCCATGCTTAATCAGTTGGCAGTCAGTGTCCGTAGGTACGGCATGTGATTTGCACCTTTCACGTACAAAGTGGTTCTACAAGACTGGCAGGACCCTGAACCTGCACTCACCCTGGATAGTAAGCAGATAGAAGTAGTCAAAACGTTCGTGTATCTTGGTAGCTGCATAAGTTCTGGTAGAGGCGTGAGTGGTGAGATTGATTCACGAATATTGGAAGCCAGAAGAGCTTATGACAATCTGGGCCATCTTTGGTGCCTTCGTGATGTCAGTCTGTGTTAGTCTATGTATATTTTATCAGTATGGGAATTTGTGGAGATTGCAGTATTTTCACAGTAGAATTCACGATTCGATCTAAGCTAGACCACCAATAAAAACCTGGAATCACTGGATCTGTTTTTCTTGCTAGCATGGGACTCCTCAGCAGTACATATACACCACATACGTGGTTCTCAAACTCTGAACCTGTGGTCTCGCATGAACTCTTAACCTGTAGACCATTGAGCCGGCAGCTGACGGTGTTAATGTTTATGAAGGGTTGCTCAACCCTTCATTCATTGTTTGAGGTGGATAGCTGTCTCACACCTAACAAGGATTGTACTCCACTGGTTACGGCTTCTCATTAAAACCAGAAGTTACATCTTGAATCTAGTCACTAGTAAGCACATGATTGTTATCAGTATGGGGACGTTTACACCGTTAGATGCCTGCTCAATGGTCTAGAGGTTGAGTCCTTGCACAAGACCGAACGTCCTGGGTTCGTGTCCCGTATGCGAGATCGTGAATGCACACTGCTGAGGAGTCCCATACTAGGGAGAAACGGCCGTTCAGTGCTCACAGGTTTTCGTTGGTAGTTTAGCTTAGATTGATTCGTGATTTCAACTGTGGAAATATTTATATGTGTATATCTTTGGAGGGAATTTCCATTCTTACATACTCAATAATCTCTAACACTACATATTCTTTATGCATATATATGCCTGGTCCTACGTTGTAGCCGACTGAATGACGTATTCTTTAGACGTTTTAAATTATTTTTGTAGTGCAATAAATTTTTATTCCCCAGAAAGTTAATCATTTCATATTTGTCATATGATGCCGATATGCTAAAAATATTTAATGATAGTACCATATTTCAGAGTTTATTTATAAATGAAACAAATCTATCATAAGATAACTACATATATGTTAATGAACATTAGGGTTCCATATGTGTGGGTGTGTGTGTAACTAGCATATTCAACTTATGTAAGCATAGATCTTATTGTTTTCGTTAATAATTCACATTATAATGTATTCATTCATACCACAGGGTTGATTAAACAATATATACATGTATTTCTCATACAAGGTCAGTTCATGTCAAATGATTGTCTTAGTTTCTCGTAATATACATGTATATATAATTCCATATTTATATTAAATAATGATTAGTTTACGTTATAAAACTTACATTCCAAACGAACAACAAAATAACAATAAAGCACTTAAATATTAACAGAAAATATAGTCAGTTCAAAGGAGCTCATTTTGTAGTTTGATCCAGTTATCTGCATGATTAGGAGATTCTTCTACTATGGAATGGACCTATGTGAATTAGATAGACTGAATTGACTAGTATATTACAACACTTTAACATTAATAATAATTCATACTTGAATAAAAACAATAGAGAATACTTATAAATAAGATGTACTCGATAGAGAAGATTTACTTAACATTCAAGTTCATTCACTTGTTACTTGGATGTAAAATATTAATGAACAAATTAATACAAATGAAAAATCACTCAGTCATCAAAGAAAATTCATTTTAAATCAATGTGAATTACAAAATTGATGTATTCCCAAGTGTTGTATTTGGGAATGAAACATATTCAACAGCCGGACACTTACAATTTTGGATATCAACAACAAAAAATCGCAAACCCTTGTTAGTATCTTCATACCTGCTGAACGGGATATCGATTGTCTGAACTCTGTAGCTCAGTGTATAGCGTGTTGGGCGTTTGGAGCGATAAGCACTGTGTTCCTGTCTCGATGTAAACACCGACACCGGAGGAAAAGATACATCCAACCGATGTGTTCCAAATAAAATGAGACTGGCTTTCGTTATCGACTATGGTTAAAATGCTTGTAACTTATTGGCAATTTTAAGACACTCAGAATGTACATATACCAAAAATGTAACTAATCAACTTCAGTCTTTAGCATCAACGACAGGAGAGACTCGCCAGTCGTCGCAACTAAATCACAATCACAATTTTCTTATTACTTATCAACTTTACCATTATATTTTATAAATCCTGTTTTTCAACTTTGTATTCCTCTGTTACTATCACTTTTTTTTCCAGATAGTCACTGTATTATTCTCTGAAACTTTAATGTGGGGATTAACTGTTAAACTTTTATCCATACAACAGTTAACGGATCGAGATCCATGTGTTTTACTTGCTTTACCTCGATTAAGTATATTAGTCGGTTGTCGTCTACTACCGGATTCTCCTATTGGTGCTAATCGTCTAGCAGTTGGGTAGGTAAATTTTATCCCCATAGCTAATTTTCTATTGTTTAATAATATTCATAATTCATACTCGTTTGTGTTAGTCAGTTATTGTTTCTAACATGAAGCATAACCTAAGATTGCTCCCAAATGCCCTGGTATGGCCGAGAGCAGGGTGGGCCCGCCCTCCCTCTCGAAATGCTCTCACACAGCCACACGTATACAGCCTCTGCCAGGGAAGTCCTACTCACTGCCTTCTCGTGGCGGGGGTGTTGTTTACGAAATTGAGAGGACGAAAAGCGAATGTCCGGCGCTTTAACCGGATTCCAAACCAATGGTGCACATGGGCTCCAGTATCCTCAGGGAACAAATGGCGTATGAATAATCAATCGTTGGTCACCGGCTACCATGGGAATGCATCTCCTCACGATGCTCCACTGCCTTGTGGGTCAGGCCTTAGGGTCAACGGCTCGGGGTGTGGCCCCCTAAGAAAACCACCTGCTTCGGTCTGGGCACCCGGTCAGTATCACATCCCTCACACATCGAATGATTTATGTGGCGCATATATATTTGGTGCCTCCTTGTACCAATGTTTATGTGTTTAAATAAAATAATAAAATAAATAAGTTAGACATTGAAATATACCCAGGACAATAAGCTTTACGATGTATTTTGTTCAAATACCTTCTAAATGTATGAATTATATTCGATTACTGTTTAAGAATCCTTATTGTACATAAATATCGCAATCGAAACTGTTACGATATTTTCCCTATCATTAAAAGCTTTTATGTACAAAGCGTTACAGTATGTAATATTTTGTGTTTACCATCACGGTATCGCTAATATCGATTACTTTTTTCAATTTACGTCCTGACCAGTAAAAAATAGAAAATAAATCGTCACTTTTAATGTGGTGCTGTGTCAATGAGAGATAGTGCTGTACTTGGTCTATATTCCACCATGTTTTGATTAACGTCTAGCACTCCCAGATCATGACACTTCACCCCATTGTTTCTAAATCAGAACAAAAATTGATAAGGAACAACCTATATTCCAATAACTTGAACAACAAAGACACAGTAATAAAAACAGCGTTTATATTAGAATTTACATAAGTATCTTCCAACATCCTGATTAGTCAACTAGCGTTGATTGGCTGAGAATAAACTAACCAAGCCTTATCAGAATATACAAAAGTCAAAACTTTATCCTACAAACAAGGTAATATTAAACAACTTTATGCGCTGTCCGATTTCATTTTTGCTAGTATCTCTCTGTCTTCATTTTGTATTCCATCTAAACAAAAGAATAAACAAACAGTACCTTAATTTAATTTTATGTGTCTCCACATAAGTCTTATTTTCCTTTTACGTAAAGGATATTTGGAGCCCATCGGTATAATGTCCTGAACTATAGGTTTCATGCTTTGTGGAATACACATGATTAAAGCCTATCTTCAATTACGGTGAATCGAAAATTTCTCAAAATACATAGATTAATGTTTTCAAACTACTAACTTCAGTCACTGAAAATATAGTACACCGTGCGATGCTTCATCAATTATTTTAGTAATTAATTCATTTTAATCGGCACAGTGTTAACTCAGCTCTTAAGACTCCAACAGTTACAGTTCTATCTACTTTTCCTCTTATCCCTCATTATCTCATTTGGTTTTGTTCGATGTCTATTTCTATGTTTGGTTTCTAAACAGTTTTAGTGCATAATTTCTAATAAGTCGTGATCATTTAGTGTGTACATTCTTGTCAGTCTAGTCCATTGACCTATATTCTGTTTAGTTGTTCTTGTTTATCTGGATTAGTTATACTAATTTCTAGCTCCACTGAAATCATGAACCGATCTAAGCCTAACCAGCATTGAAAAACTCGAAGCACTAGATGGCCGTTTAGTCTCAGTATAAAACTCATTAGCAGTGCGCATTCACAGTTCCGCTCGCGGGTCTTGAACTCAGGACCTTTGGTTTCACATCCAAACTCTACCTCTAGACCATCGAGTTGGCATCTAACAGTGTTAATGTGTAATTCACCGAAGAAAATGGAATATGGTCACGCAATGTCGTAGATTGATTGAAGTTAAACATTAGTACTTGGTTACCGGCTCGGTAGTCTAGATATGAAGCGTTCGCGCACGCAATCGATGCTCCTGGGTTCGATTCTCGCTAGCCAAACCGTCGATACGCACTGCTGAGTAGTTCTGTACTAAGATTAAACGGCCTTCGAGTTCTTCAATGCTGGTTTGGCTTAGATCGGTTCATGATTTCAGTGAAATTCCACAGTCTCCACAACCTCATACTGATAATTTCTAGTTGTTTGTTTTTATAAGTACAAATCATGGAAATCTATATTGTCAACAAAGTATGAAATCGTTCGCTGGTCGTAATAGTTCTCTCGTTCTTAAAAACACCGAGAATTTTTCAAGTGACAGGTAGTATGCGGCTCCTGAAAAGCAGATAAACGTTTATTTCAACATCAAATTTCAGTCACATTGTTTTGTCCAAAACGTAGGAGTATGTCATGATAAAGTATTCACGAAGAGGGTGTGTAACAATTTCCTCTCGATAACTTTTCTCTGTCGTTTTTTACACACTTAATTCATATTAGTAGTCATACGCAACAGGTACATAATTAATTAACTGTAATTTGTGAACATTAAAAGGTAGATTTACAACGTAGACCTTATATGACATAGACACATATGCTCAATCAGTGTTTTATTTCAGCAAAGCTGCTTACAACCTCTGTACTGCTTATAACTGAAAAATATTTGGTGACCTCCATGTTTAAAACATTTTTGACCTGCACTTACTTTATCTTTAACACAGTTATTTGTCAAATACAGTATACTTTTATTTTTCTTCAGTTATATAGCTTGCTTTGTTAGAATCAATTTTTGCTTTGTAAATTATATTCGTCACAGATTGATTTCAGTTATCATTGAAAACTAAGGGTAACTGTTAGGACAGATATTTCATCGTGTTGTGAGGCTCCTCTGCAGCACACACGCCAGAAATCAAACCCAGGACATTGTGCTCCCGTGCCAAGCACTTGACCATGAGAACCACTGGGTTCAATTAAACGATTTCGACATCTATTAATTTGCGACATGGCACGGCGACCATCTAACTCCATTAGTGATAACTGTTTCACTCCTGACATGTCTGAACTCCATCCATCATGATTTCTTATTCAAACTTCAATAATTCACTAGTAAGCTGACTGTTATGGTCCTAATACTTAAATGTCCGCCGCCGCACGTGACGTTCCTAGACTATCCCTAGTGGGACTATGGCTGTGTACTACTGAAGTGTCCCATATTAAGATGAAACACCACAGTTGTCCAGCGCTCCTTGCTTTTAAATGGTGCCCCAACTGAGCTCAACCTGTGGTGAATGTAACCTACAAATTAAACCAATCTTTACAAAACCTACCCATCTAAGTTAATTTTTAATTATGAAACCTGTTTGCTTGTTTTTTTTGTTTACGTTTTCTAGTCATCGTTTACCATTCATGTTCAGTTCGTCTCGTTCTGAATTAGCCTATTTATGCAGACAGTTGTTTGCTCTTCGACCAGATCAACTATGTCGATTAACGCGATGGCTTGGACCAAACGGATTACCGAATTTGGTTTACAATCAAAAACTATCATCTAGATTATCAGATTCTGAACAGCAAACAAATTCAAATTGTTCTTTACAGGAAGTACCTAATGAAATTAAAATAACTACTACTACTACTCGTGCAGCTCGACTGTCTTTGTCATCTCTTTTAACACCTAGTTCAGTTCCTAATAACTTAAGTACTTCATACCAGAAAAGTCATATATGGAAAACTTGCCTTCCTGGTTTACATCGATTATATAAATCCATTTCGTCTGTGGCTGATAGATTCGCTAGAGAATATCCTACAGAGTTACGGTTTATTTTACAGGTACGCTCATTTGGTTGTTTACCGGATTTGTTATCCTTAAATTTCTTTATTGCCTTAACTCAGTTAGTCTTCAACTCTGACCTAGAATTGTTTTTCTTTCTCGTTTGAAGCATTGAAATTTTTCTTTCATAATTTTTTTTGTGTATTTGTAAAAACGGTATATTGATAAGGAAAAACAATTTTACACTTTTCTAAATATTACTGAATTGTACATATGATCGATTATTAGTGTATGGTCAAAATGTGTGTATATAGGAGAGTGATTGATCTGAATTTTGACAATATATTTAACATGAAGGTATTTGAGTTAATATGCAGTGAATCTATTCAATCATTTAATATTATTCATGCATTCCACCTTTAACCATACAAATGTTGTTTAATTAATTTATTCTGAAGTATTTTTAAGCAAAATTTGATAGAGAATAAAAGTGGAGTCCAAGACGTTCCGTTTTGGACTCATAAACAGTATGTACCTGCATTCTAGTTTCGATGTTCAAGCTAAAACTCGAACCTAACGATTTTCGCTTCAAATACTTAATACTTTATCCAATTAACTGCTGAGTTCATGCGACTATTGACCTGTGTAACGAGGATGAACTTTATTTCATTTTGAATGATTTCAATCTTCCTGCTCTTAATGTGAAGTACTGCAGATGAAATCTTTTTTGGTATATGTACACCCTGAGCAAACCGCCTCAATACTACCATTAAAATTACAAGCTACTATCAACCCTTGCTTATAAACAATTGTGACTCAACGATACTATCGAGACTATCCACTTAAAATACACATATACGAATAACAAATTGTTCATTTGCGGACTTTAACATCAACGGTGGGATTATTCAAACTTGTATAAATGAAATTCTATCCTAAAGTAGTCCAAATTTTTATTTTATGAGTACCAAACGTAATAGTCCATTGATTCAAGTTCCTAGTGCTAGAAAGGCACAAAAAGATATTATCAAAAAGTGAATATAGGTGTCATTATCAAGGTTTGACTTGATAATTTCAAATAAATTGAGCATTTGGCAGATTGTTATAATATATTTTTCTGACATTTCGTTACTTCCGGTCAAGATACTTTATGTGTGACCTAATTGATTTGATATGGACGTGGTTAGACTTGTTTTTGATTAATCGCACCAAATGTTCTTACTTTGTTCCTTTGTACTATTTAAACTTGGGTTAATTTATTTTGCTTATCTATTCTCTGAAGAAGTGGCTTACCCTGAGTCACGAAACGTCAGAAAATTTTTAAAAACTTGATTTTTCTACTCATCGAGATATTACAATTACATTATTTTTATTAAAAAGTGAATATATATTTAAGATTTTTTCAAAAAGTAAATGAAAGAGTTGAGTTATAAACAGTAATGAATAAGGTGGTCGCAATAGATGTCAGTTAGGCAATCATGCACATGTACATTGGTTCAAACTGCCACACCCTATTAACACGAAAGATGAAATTTCAGATCAAATCCCAGAGTAGTAGAGGCACCAACAATATTATTGGTAACAAAAAGACTATCCATCGAAGATACGATTCTAGAATAAAAGAAATAATTTTCTAGTGTAAATTAGAAACTTAGGATCTAAACGCAATTGTTACCAATTGTGAACCATGTTATCTAACTTTTCTAACGATTAGTAACGATATTTTCACAAACCCCAACCAGTTAGTTTTCATTTATCTACACGGCTCAATCTAATAGCCATTATAGAGCCGGTGGCTTAGTAGTCAAGGTGTTCAACTTTCGACTACTAAGTCCAAGTTTCAAACCCCACTCCACATACTTCAGTCTGAACAACTGCTTAGTATCATCAGCCCATATCCGAGTACCTGACAAATGAGTAGATATATTAGCAACCGCTGTCTTGATAAACTGATGCCACTTTTTTCGTTTGACCACTACCTTTACCAATAAAATAAAAAGTAATAATAACTTAGATGATAGTACCCGCTCTTTAACTAGCTATAATAATGCATTAAACTCTTGTTCATGATATTTTGCCGAAATTACAGTCCAATACTAATGTGATATGCATTCTTTACATTTCAAATGATTTAAAACTCTTATCACATTTCCTATAGAATTTTTTTCATAAAACTACTGTAGTCTATTTTTTTCATTTTTATAAGTAGTCTTATCAAATTCTCAGTAAATAAGAATACGAATATACAGAACTATTATTTATATTTTTATTGTGTTAGTTGTTAAATAATTAAGTTTTCTTCATTAACTCATTAACTGTTGATATATATATGTTACTGTTCCTGAACTACTATTAACATTAACAACCCATCTATTACTCAGTGTTTTATCCTATTTAACCTAGTTATGTACATATTGTAATTTCTTATCTGTAGTGTATTATGTTTATATTATTATTATTATTGTATAGAATCATGTGAGTTTTAACTGTAAGAATAATACAAGGTAAGAATTGTTGTCTTTATATTTTGATTAGCCATTGAAGGCACCGCATGGACCAATAGGCATTAGGATTCCCAGTCGCGTGGTTGATAGTCATTTGTATCTATTAGTTAACAAGAAGAAGTTCATTAGTCTGTATTTGATATAAAAACGAACTTCTATATTAGTAAACTCTACAACTGAGTAATTAGATTTGATAGGCATGTAAAAAAAATGAAATTTCTATAAAAAAATCCTTACTATCATCTGGATATTTTATTCTTATTCATCTCATTCGCATGTATAAATATCATTAATTTCTGTCTAATTGAATATATTCTCCCTCTTTCTTGTATTCTCTGTTCGATTGTAGAAAGTAATTGAAATGCATGACACTTATGATGAGATCGATATTGTTGAATCTTCTGACTCGTCTTCTGTGGATAATAGTAATAATAACTTGCAAAACGACAATCCAATTCTTTCTGATAATATTGTTGATAAGAGTATAGAAGAAATTAAAAATAGACAATTGATTGATGAAGATAGTGAATTAGAAGAAGAATTAGAATTGAATTTATTCAATCTAATGGCAAGTGAAAGAAAACTTCGTGATTTAGCTAATTTATTCAATTGGGATGAAGTAATGCAATATCATCATCGTAACAAATTATCATCGTCATCATCATCATCAAATCAATTTAATGTACATAAATTATTTAAAGAGTCTAATTTATATTTACGAAATTGTACTACTAATTCTGTTGTGAATAATAGTAGTAAATTTCCTTATTCAATCGATTCAGAAACCAGTAATTGTTTAATAAAATCATCAGAACCAATTTATAAACACACTGGATTAATATCAGCCGATATTTTGATTGATGAAAAAACGAATACTACTCCAAGTATTGGGCAAACTGTTGATGAGATTGGCTTGGATATTGCAGCCTGTTTAGATGATAACGATGTGGACAAGTTGATAATATCGACAAATTCAAAGTCCATTTCACCTGTGAATAGTAACCATAACCAACGCAGTAAGTTTCAATCCAATCTCTGTGTGTTATGTTCCTTTTGACATATCGTAATCTATGAAAGCACATGAGTATTAGTACTTGTTATACAACATAGGTCATTCACTAAGTACAAGTGTATATGCTCAATTTTGAGCCACATTGTTTGTGTGAAGGCTACTCAGCGGCCCTGATCAAAGTTAATAGAGTATCATTTGAACCTGTGATCTACTAACTGACAGTCTAGCACCATGACCACCGAGTTATCATTATTTCAATTTCGTTTGACAGATTACTAACATGTGAACAATATAGGATTTTTGATGGTATATTCGTGTGTGTTTTCAATATACATGGTACATTTGTCAACAACGAATTCACTTCATAAGAGCACATTACCTTCCCCTTCATATTAGTAGCACACAAGTAGTTAATCAAATTGAATAAATCCTTCCGATAATATTTACACTTATCTTAAAGCAGAATTAAAATACTTACTGTGTGTAATGCACCTAAAGAGCATCCGTACATTACAATTTCACCATTCAGAATTGAGTTTAATAAACCTATATTTAAATAAGTCTTAAATCGGTTTTCATGAAAACATACTATTGAACGATTATTGATAAACAATATCTGTAGTTCATAAAAAGTCTAAACGGCATGAAAACGAATGAGTCGCATTCCACTGTGTTGAGCAATATACATTGTATGTGTATACATATACGTAGTACAAGATAATCGTTACTGCAAGTAAACAGTGACTAAACGTGTACCAAAATGGTTGCTAAACATATAATGGCCAACAACTTAATACATTTCCTCCAGTGCCCCTACAAATCATAAAGGTTGATGAGGTCGACTGGCTTTTCTGGAGACACTTAAATGACACGACACAGTTACCAGGGCTTAATAGCTGTTTTATTCTTGACCTGAATATTCTTTGATGCACTCATGGTGACGAAAAGTCACTTACGAACCAAACAGCAATGATTTGCTATCCCTTTCCAAGTTGTCAATTGTTTTGTACAGCTTTCTTATGAGCGATGGTGTAATTTACTGTTTACACTTTGTTTACCGTCATTTTCCTTCCAGTTTCTTTTTGTGTGTGACATGTTTTAAGATACCACAATAACCATCCTCCAGTTTTATGTTTTAGGCAATTATTTATCAGCCAGGTGTATGCATCAGTTTCTTTTGATCCACAGTCATTTCAATAATGTCGATACATTTCTTTATTAGTCGCAAATAATCGACTATAGTTTTTATTTAGATATTTAAATATCAACTCTCACTTTCTTATTATGCTAGCTTTGTATTCACTAAGTCTATCTGGCTTTATTTTGGTCGGATGATCTACCTATCCATTTAGGAAATGTTCTCTCAGTAACTTTAGATCCATCTGTAACTGTCTTAGCCAACTACCACACTACCTTACTCCAATCTCTTCGTCACTGTTCTCTTTTTCTTTTGCGTTCCTTAGTTTTTTTTCTACTTCTCTTCGTATTCTCATTGTTTTGTGTGGCGCATATATATTGGCGCTCTCTTGTAACAATATTTATGTGTTCAAATAAATAAATAAATAAAGGTAAAGAGGAAAAGGTTTACAATAGTCGCGTGGACTCCAACCAAGTAGTGTGCATCTACCAACATGGCTCAGACCAGAATTTAATGACCGATGTCACACTTTGGTTTGGCCGCGCTTAATTTTCTTACATCCGTCTGCAACACTAGTCAGCATTATGCGCTGTTGTAGTCGGTGGTCGGTCATGCGTAATACGTGGTCCAATCATATCAATCAATGAAAATTCAAAATCTCATCAAGTGATTTCAAATCATTCCCTAATACCCCTGCGTCTAACCTCACTATTACTTACCCGGTGGTCCCAGCATATGCGAACAATATTTCTAAGACATAGGTATGCTTTAGTTTATCGAATCCTCAGCCATATGATAATTTAAACCCCGTTGCATATGTTCAAAATTACTTAATACTTACATCAAACCTACAATGTTAATATTAATTCAATTAACTTCATGCAATTGGTTCCGTTGATAGACTTTTGTATAACAAAAATCAACAGATATTGTGAGATGACATGAATTCACTTCATTTTGTTTTGCTCGAAATCTTTCGCGGCTGGTTTCGTGGTGGAAGTCAAAAATTAATCGATCACTATGGCAGTATCAACCAAATCAAACTTTTTTCGCCTACCCTGAGTTAGAAATAAGAACTCCTACTTCTGTGTAACGTAGAAGTCTACCACTATTCTGTTTTCTTACCACTCGAAAAGTATTACCCGTATCCACTGAACGACTCTTATTCATTAATTATCTTTTTATGGGGGTAATGCTGAGTAATTTGGAGGCATTCGTCAGCATTTTTTTCCGAGTTGAGGACGTTAGAAGACTCTTTGTGTTCGACCATCGCTGTCTCCGAAGGATTGCTGACATCCAATGGTAACACCATGTCAGTAATGCAGAGGTTCGGCACCGTGTGTTCGGGCACAGAGATGATAATGCAATCGATGTCACCATCTTGAAACACCGACTTCGGTGGCTTGGACACGTTCTACGAATGTCGTCCCAGAGAATTCCACGTCGTGCATTATTTGCTGACTCTGGGACTGGTCGGAAGAAGCGGAGAGGTGGTCAGTGCATGACATGGTGTCGTGGCATGAAAGAAAGCTGCAAAGGACTGGCTTCTGTCGGTCCTTCATGACTCCCTGGTTGGGGTCTGAGAGATGGTGCTACACAGTGGCTAGAGACGTTATCAGATATGGCTCAGAATAGAAGCCAGTGGCGATCCTGCTGTAACCTTCTTTTACTTTCTTCATAAAAAGTGGTTTTATCTACCTTAACTGAAAGATTTCTTTTGGTTGTACCTTCCCGTTTCCGCCATTATTATTACTGTTATCACACTACCTTACACTAATATGTTCGTTACTGTTCTTTTTTCCTCCTCGAATTCTCATTGTTTTGTGTGGCGCATATATATTGGCGCTCTCTTGTACCAATATTTATGTGTTCAAATAAATAAATAAATAATTTTTTTCGATACAAGTAAATAGATCACTACAACTAAGAGTAACTAGAGTAAGTCTGTTATATAAGTTAAACTTTCTCAGTAGGCTTGTTGTTTCATATGTGATAATTGAATTAGTGCCAAGAAAAGTTAGTACAATGCTGGAGTTTAATCGGTGGTTATTGCGCTCGCTAAGACTATCCTCTTTTATACAGAATTTTGTGAGGACAATAAGATGTCGTAGAATCGTAATTGTTCACTCATAGTGATTATTGATAAACTTTGTGGATCAATCATGATACATAGTTTCTTTCAATGTGTAGTCTCTATTTATATTCATCATATATTTCGATTTCAAATTAATAAAAACGAATATCTTTTATTTTATTTCTCGATTAAGGTACATTTTCACAAAGGCTTCAATCATTAAATTTAAGTATTTCCTTTGAAGGAACACAAAATCCCACTGATCACATATTCAATTATCTACCAGCATGGCAACCTGACTCACCATCTTATGAAAATCATATTGATCGATTGAAAATTGATAATCATAATGAGGATGATGATAATGACGATGATTCAATTAACTTTGATGATTCACAATGTTCATATATTGTTGGACGTAATTGTGCTTCATGTAATCGTTTATTCACATTAATTTGGCGACGTCATCATTGTCGTCGTTGTGGTCATATATTCTGTTCAAAATGTTGTAATTATTGGCAATCTATTGAAGGATTAGCTAGTAGTAAACCTGTTCGTATATGTTCTGATTGTCATGATTTTTTAAGTCCACAGATTATTCAATAAATAATAATATTATCATTGTTATTCAATTAAATCTCAGATCTTTTACTGTTTATGTCTTTCTAGATAAGTTTGTTCATAACTATTCTTATAATTATTTTCTTTTTATTCATATTCACACTCACACATATATACAAAGTATCTTCTTATTAGTGGGTTGTTTAATATTCATTTTGAAATACAATAAGCATCGTTATAATACTTGTATTTATCCTATTTTGATTTGAATAAAAAGTAAATCCAATTTTTATAGCAGCTATATACATTACTCAATCCACGGAAAATAGTGGAAAAGTTAAATTTACATCGTCATTACTACCATTATTATTATCATCATCATTTTTATGACTTATTCATTCATTAGTTATTTATATTTAACTTTATTTTCATAATATTTTCACATTTGTTTAGTGCAAGTAACTATCTTACAAAATTGGTCTGTATTCACTTGTCGTGAATGATATTATGTACATAAAAATATATATATTTGACTTTGATAGAATTGTTTGATCTTTTTTATTCAATTCACATAAAATCTAGTATAACTGGACACTAAAGCATAGTATGCACTGAACAAAATTATAGTATTTGTATGCGGGTTGGGATACCGACTAGATGAAGTAAATGGTTTCCTTGAAGAGGGACGCTCCCATAACTTTTAACGTAAGAATCTCATATACTAGTCAACGGAGCAACATCAAGAAACGACGTTCTATGGTAGTCGATAGTCAGAAATGCTTTAAGATTGCGGTTCTCAAAATCCCCTAGGTAAACCCTCCGTATCCACCAACTTAGTCGAGGCGGAGAGAGTTTGCTTTTCATCCTCTGACTTTTTTAAGCGACACCGTGAACGTGTAATATTAATGGAAGAGCTTGTTCCTATTTAATCCTAAACTAACTGGTGATTGAGTATTGATCGAAAATTAAAGTGGGAATGCCTAGGTTACCAGTAATCGAGCTTGTTTAGACCAGACGGAATGTATACAGCAATACAATGCTTTCACGCAACAGGCTCTTTAAAGTCTTATGGATTTAAAATATAGCGCGTTAAAGCATTTCGAGATGATAAATCTTCAGGTCGATACACTTGTAATGAGTATCTTGTAAAGATCATGTCGTTTTTCAGCAGTTGTTTGACTTATCTTCCCATACTTATTATATTTCATCCCATGCTACTTCATATTAATAAATAGTATTAACCTTAAATTGTAGGTATTCTTGTGCTCTAGTTCATATTTTGATATTTATCAACTCAAAATTTATTCAAAAATCTCAATGAGTAACTTAATTTCAAAAATCATTTTTCTGATCTTAATGTGTAACTCATTTCATTGAGTCAACTAATAGTTTATACATAGATCTAGCAGTGCACTTTCTTAGATATTATCTAACAGATTTATTCAAAGTGGATGTGTATATAGGATTAATACAGATAAAAAGAGTTGCAGGGAAACAGAAAAATCACGTTCATCTACAAAAAAGACAATTTTGTAACCCCTTTTTTCAGATATACACCAGTCAGCTACAACGTAGAACCAGGCACATATGTGCATCGGTCCAAGTTGCCATACCTCATTAACACAACAAGATGAACACCGAATTCATAGAAGTAGTTCATTCAGTGGTGGTAATATATAAAAGAAAGATCGCATATATGGACATAGTACAGGAAGAAAGAATTAGTTCGTAGAAAGAAAGATATGAAGCGATTTTACTCTCATAGTTTAAAGGGAGACAGACAGTTTATACACCGACGCCATTGTGGTCGATTCTGAGCCATATCACCAAGTCTTCAACCTTTGGTCACGATAGTCGCGCGGATCCCAACCAAGTAGTCTGCATCTACCAGAAGTTAGTGAATTTATGTACTAATGCTACATTTTGGTTTGGCCGCCCCCAATTTTCTTCCAACCGCCTCTAACACTAGTCAGCATTGCGCGTCGTGGTAACCAGTGTTTAGACATACGCAACACGTTCCAACAATCTCAGTTTATGAAGATTCACAGCCTCATCAACTGACTTACCATCATTCCCTAATACCCTGTGTTTAACCTCACTGTTGCTTACCTGGTGATCCTAGCAGATGCGAGCAATATTTCTAAGGCATCTGTGGTCAAATACTAGTAGCTTACGAGTATCCTCTACTCTTAATGGTCGCGTTTTTTAGCCGTAAACTAGAACAGAACGTCCCGTCCCTTAATTGATAGACGGATAACTCGTTTTCACCATAGGTGACGTAAGTTGGCAAAAGCCAAACGAGCTTTTCGGATCCGTGCACAGATTTCGTCAGACACCAACCCATTAGGGCTGATAAGACTTCCAAGATAAGTGAAGTTGTCAACGCGTTCGACTACTTCACTCCCCATCCTTAGTTCAGGTGTTGACGAAGGCCAGTCCTGGAGTGACAATTTGCATTTAGAAGGAGAGATACTCATCCCAAACATCTTGACATTGTTGCTCAGTGCTATCAAAAGATTGCATTTTATCAGCGTCTTCGCCAAACAGGACTATATCATCAGCGTATTCCAAGTCGATAAGTGGACCTCCTGGTAGGAGATCGATGCCCGGAAATTTGGTCGACGAGAACGTTACTTCTATCAGTATGTCTATGATGAAGTTGAACAAAAGTGGAGAAGGTGGACAGTCTTGACGGACACCACTCGAGGTTGCAAAAGCAGATGACAGTTCGTCACAAGCCTTAACTAGACTAGTAGTGTTCGAGTAAAGAGCCTTCACAAGGTTTATGTACTTCTGAGGTACACCTTTCAATGACAGACACTGCCACAGAACCTCTCGTTCTACAGAATCAAATGCTGCTTTCACGTCAAGAAAAACTATAATTGTCGCACATCGATAAGCGTGTCTGTGTTCTAGTGCCTGACGAATGGTGCATGACCATGACCAGGTCTAAAGCCAACCTGATTTCATCGTGTTTGCAGTTCACGAGTCTTTGTTGGGCGCCCGATAATTATTGAGGCTAGTATTACAGACGTTATGTTAGTCAAACTAACCCCTCTATGGTTATCACAGGATGACTTTGACCCTTTCTTATATATTGGGACAATCTGTGATTGCAGCCAGTCAGATGAGGTTACATCCAACTTCCAGATTTAAGTTAAAATATTAGTCAACCTAATCGCTAAATCTGGACCACCATCCTTAAAATCCCCTGGAGTTAATTCATCTAGACCAGCTGCTCTTCCTCGTTTCAGATTTTTGAACATCAATTACAGTCGGGGGACCCACTTCAATGTTCCATTCAGGCTGATTGGGAATGGTGGGTAGTTGTAGAGTAGCTGAACTGCTCATTAGAGTGTTCTGCCTACCGCTCAAAACATCTGAGCTGAGAGCGGATACGAGTTTCGTCTTTTTCTAAGAATCTCACACTTGTCTTATAATTTCCAATTTCGTATATTAATCTGAAGAGCTGTCTTGTGCTACCTACAGTTACCGCCTTTTCCATCTCTTTTGCTTTCAATATCCACCACTGCTCACGGTCGTTTCTTAGACTTTTGGTTAACCTAGATCTGATTTGTTTTCGTTCTTCATTGTGTTCGGAGTCTGATGAGTCTACGAGAATCCACCAGTGCAATAGACTTAGAAGAAATTCACTGGTTTTTCGTAACCCTTTGGTTTAAGTCACCAATAGATGTCGCTGTTGTTTCCACAGCTGTTCGTTTATCTTTCCAAGCAACATCTGGGCAGCCTCGTTTTCAGAACTACCTAAGTGTGACCTCAGTTGTTCTTGGGATCTACTTTTGGCTTTAAAATATACATATACATACACGACGTGTTATTACTGTTCAACTGAAAATGATAATTTATGGGAGTGAAATTCAAAAAGCAGTATTCAGAACATTTTTTATTTTACGGTCACAAAAATAAAAATAGTTCAGTCACTGAGAGCTAAATCCAGTAAAAAAGCAAAACTTAACAATAATGATCAACTCTAAAACAATAGGAGGTGTATAAACAAGGATAACTATTTATAAATGACCTTTAATGCTTAGGGTTTTGTGCAAAAAAACATAATCTTGTTTGGTATCATAAAAAAGATAAATAGAAAAAGAGACTGAGATGATTTTTCTTAAAGTAATCAGGATTCACAAGCTGAAGAGGAAATTAAGAAAATGTGATGAAAGTGGATAGGATATACATTGTAGAAATCATCAGACGGAACCACAAGGCAAGCACTAACTTGGAATCCTGAAGGGAAAAAGAAAAATCAAGGGTCGCGATTGGAAGCAGACATCAAAAGAATGAATAGCGATCAGAAACAATTGGAAAGGTTTGCCCAGGACAGAGTTCAGTGGAGAATCCTGTTGGGCGACCTATGCTTCTTCAAAAGAGATGATAGACATAAGTCAGAATTCAAGAACACTTTAACTTACACAATTTTATACATAGATAGAATTTACAAGAAAAATTTTAATGAAGCATTTGAAAAGCCAATTGTTCTATTTCACCATGTAATGCATTCAAATCAAGACATTGTAGAGCTGGTAATAATTTCGTATGAATTATAGATGCTACACATGACTATGAAAATTATGAAAATTAAAAAAAGAATAAAGTGAATTAGGATTATTCCATGTAAATTGTTATCAAACAGGGAAAAATAAAAATTATTAATTAACAAATCAGTGTGTTCATTCGATTTTTTACATGATAGGGATAGTGTCATTGTAATTCGTGCCAGTGTGTATGTAATAGGATTCTTTTCAGACTATGATGTGAAAACATCTCTGACCATTAGCAATTTAATTTGACCACAGATGCCTTAGAAATATTTTATTTATTTTATTTGAACACATAAATATTGGTACAAGAGAGCGCCAATATATATGCGCCACACACTTAGAAATATTGCTGGCGTCTGCTGGGATCACCGGGTAAGTAATAGTGAGGTTAGACGCAGGGTATTAAATAATGATGGTAAATCAGTTGATGAGGTTGTGAATCTTCATAAACTGAGATGGTTGGGCCACGTGTTACGTATGCCTGAACACCGACTACCACGACGTGCAATGCTAACCGGTGTTCGGGATGGTTGGAAGAAAGTTAGGGGCGGCCAAACCAAAACGTGGTATCAGTGCTTGAAGTCACTAACTTTTAGTCTGAGCCATGTTGGTAGATGCAGACTATTTGGTTGGGGTCCGCGTGACTATCGTAACCAATGGTTGGAGACTCTTGGTGACATAGCTCAGAATCTACCACAATGGCATCGGTATATACACTCTCTGTCTTCTCTTAAACTATGAGATTGAAGTCGCTTTATATCTTTCTTTTTACCAACTAACTCTTTCTTCCTTATATGCAATCTTTATTTTATTATTGCCACCATTGAATTAACTGCTTCTACGAATTCGGTGTCCATCTTGTTGTGTTAATGAGGTATGACAACTTGGACCGATGCATATATGCGCCTTGTCCTAACGTTGTAGCTGATTGACTGATTAGCAATTTAAAGCAAATCGACGGATATTCTATCCTGATAGAGGGGGGTCAACAGCTACACAACTGGAGAAGTTTACTTAGAATAGAATAACTAGAAAACCAATGTAACACAATGGTAAACCGATGTACTTCAATGCTTTATTCTCCTTCTTATGAATACGTGTAGATTGCTAGAATTCAATCGATTACAGAGTTATTGCCCAACTAACAAGAAAGTCTAACAAAGTAGCAGCTGATTTCGTTAGGATAGATTTGCAACAAAATCACACATTTGTCTCAGTTGTTAGTGACTGAATTTAATAAGAAAAGGGTACATGGTATTAAGAATGTTAAATCCCTAGAAAACCATCGAGTTACTGTTCATTTCGTGAATACTCATACCTATTCTCTCGCATCAAATAGCTCCACAATATCTTCCCTTTATTGAAACTACGATTTAGATTCGAAAACATTATTTTCTGTATGGTCAGTGGCTTTTTATGTACTGTAGTTTTCAAGGTTATTGTACGTATGTTGACATATTATGAATAAATCTTCGGTTAATATCTAATAACTCTTGAAAGATTTATTCTTCAGACTACCCAAGACTAGGAGAAAAGGAAAAATGGGTGTATTTATGTATCGAAACTAGGTATTATTGGTGTCAGTTCAGGAAAAATCAAAATGCCTTATCGTGATAAACACACAAGAATTAACTAAATTAACATACTTTACAAAATTTTAAGAACAAGTGACTAAAATCCAACTAATGAAGATAAACGAAAGACGGAAAACATCCGCAGCCTTTTAACACTGGGGTTGGGAGTGAATCGACTAGAATTTCACCACCTTCCGTCAAACTACACCATACAAAAATCAACTTATTTATTTGTTGTATCTTGAGAAAAAGCTGCTATGGATTTGTTAAGGCTTGAAAATTCCTAACTGATATCACATACCATATTGTCGGTCGGACCGTTGACCAATTTCACGAATTGACACACTGATCAATAAACTATAGCCAAGGCCCTAATGCTTATTTGTCCTCGAGCCTCCTTACAAACCCAGTGATAAATAAGCATACGCAAATAGAGAACAGATTAGTTTTTCGATGCGCCCGCTTCGTTATTCGATTTGTGTGAGGACTGGAACACTGCCTTGTCGCACAAACCGAAGTAAGTAGTTTTGTTAAAGGACCACTGTCCCAGCTTTTGACCTAGAGATCTAGTTGACAAGGAAGTGGAGCAACGTTAAAAGATGCAGTCCTATGGTAGCCAGTGACCAACAATATGTCCATACTCCATTTTCTCCCTTAAGATCCTGGAGCCCATGTGCACCATTTGTTTGGAATCAAGGTTTTCCAACTCCCCTAGATAAATCCTCTGTATCTACTAACACGGTTAAAGCGTTGGACATTCGCTTTTCGTCTTCTGAATTTCGTAAACAAAACTCTGGTCTCGAGAAGACAGTGAGTAGGACTTTCGAGGTAGTGGTTGTATACACGTGACAATGTGAGAGGATTTCGAGAGCTGACTCTCGCCACATTTGGTCGTACCAGGGCATTCACTAATTATGTAATATATATAAATAATCGTAACTTCAAAAAAATAGCAGCGATAGTTTTTTGACTTTCCTAATATTCATTTTGTCATAACATGATTATTTTATGATCATATTTAATGTAAGATATGAAAAGTGTTTTAAAAAAAAGAAAATTCCAATGAAAACCTCACCTTTTGAACACTTTCACTCAGAGACTGTACAGGTTGACTTAGATTTTGACTATCTTGATCTATAATCATTTTTTGATACAATGTATTTTGAAGTATTGTACAGAAAAGAATAACCAATGCAACATTTTTAATTTTCTCATCTTGAATATTTTGACAAAAAGAATTACAATTGTTTGATTCAGTTAATAAAATACTACTATTACTACTACTATTATTTTTGGTAGATAATAAACATTGTGAAGAAGAATGACAACTGAGTAAATATAAAATACAATTAGAACAAACATTTAATTCATGAAGTAGAAATGGCCAATCCAAAAGTATAAGAGAATGATGAAATATTGGTTCAATACATGAGAAAAGTAAAGCTGTAGAAAAGAAACAATGTACGATAAAAATAAATAATTAGAACAGGTATATATCTATAGCATAAATTTTTTTAAAAGGAAAAGAATATGAATTTATGCAATTAGATATGAAGTTTTTCGATTATTGTACAAGTCTTTATCTACAATTACTCTAATTATGTGACTATCATCACCTTTGGATACCGTCCCAGTGTTGTGGAGCGTTCGCGCGCGAGACCAAAAATTCTGGGTTCAATCCCCGCCTGCAGAATTGTGGAAGCACATACATATATATACTAGGATGAAACGGTCATACATTTCTTCTAGGTTTCCAATGGTGGTCTAACTTAGATCTGTTCATATTTTCAGCGAATTTCAACAATCTCCATAACCTCATACTGAAAACACTCGAAAAAAGCATTAATTCATAAATTAAAATAACCCATAGTGTCATTGAATAAGAAAAAGAGAATTCAGCGAGGAAAATTTTCTTTTCGACAAAATCATTTACTTAAGCTGTACATTCGTATATATAGTTAGTTACATGGAAAATATATGTCTATAGGATGATAGAAAAGACTGCACCATAAATTGATTCGAGAATAAATAACAAGTGAGGTTACGTACTAATCAAGGGGTGAGGAAGAAAATAGTTTCTGGGTCAGATAATAGTCATTGGAACACATTCTCTTGATCCTAGAGGATAAAGAGCGAAGTAAGTTCCTCTTTCTACTCAATGGGATCCAACTGTGGAAATCCGTGTATTGTCTATTCCAGGTAGGTTTTCTATATATAGATCTCTGTAAAAAACCATCAGGCATTCTTTTTAAACGCACATCAGAAAGTGAAGTTCATGGTTTGCCTCTGCTTCTAAGGTCAATTGAATTGACGAGTAACAATTATTGAAAATATTCAAGATTTCATTGAGGTTCATGTCTTCTTCACAAATAATGAAAGTATCATCACAACAGATGAGGAACTATCTCAGCTTCGACAAACTCTCATCAAAATTGGTTTCCACCCAGATTTGCCGATAGCAACTTAACACCTAGACTTCATCATGAAAAAGCAACGACAGTACAGAAGAAAACTCTGTTTATGAATATGGAATTTAAAGGAGACACGGCTGCTGAAATCCTAAATAAACGGATTTCAAAATCATTGCATAAAACATTCTACACAGCTAAGCTCCGAATTGTTTCCTCTAGCCAACCTACCATTCTGGGATATGTTAAGGATAAACTTACGCTTTGGGCCACATCAATGTATATATATAAATTTACTTGCTCATGTGGGGCACGTTATATAGGCCGCACAAAGCGATCACTGTCCAAACGCATCTCAGAACACTATCCGGCATGGCTCTTAAAAGGAGAATGAAAAACAATTACTAGTTCGATACAGGAGCATTTAATTAACTGTGGACACATCGCTCCAAAGGACTCTTCTTTTAAAGTAATCTACAGAGTCAAAGGAACTGGATCGAAGGGGGGGATCGAACCAATATTTTATGCATTGCTGAGGCATTGGCAATCCACGAACACAATTCTGAACTTTGCGTGAAGAAACGATTTGTCCAACTTCTCATCCCTCCTTGGCCCTAATTCCCTTAATGGATACGTTCCGGGCTTTTTTTCTGCCTGTTTTTCTGCACTTGTATTTGATTACCGCATTTTTTAAGTTACTGTTTTGCATTTTAAACACTAATTAGTTGTGCTTATTACCTTATACAAGTTTTCTTGATTATTATTCAGTCTATTATTATAACCTTTGTGTTTGTCGCTTTTCTTCATATCTGTCAATTGGACTATTATCTGACCCAGAAACTATTTTATTCCTTACCCCTTGATTAGTACGTAACCTCACTTGTTATTTATTCTCGAATCAATTTATGGTGCAATCTTTTCTATCATCCTATAGACATATATTTTCCATGTAACTAACTATATATACGAATGTACAGCTTAAGTAAATGATTTTGTCGAAAAGAAAATTTTCCTCGCTGAATTCTCTTTTTCTAATTCATAAATTCCTCAAGTCTACTAATTAAGCACTGTTATAAAACGACATATCTGCTTACAATTAGAAATAAGACATAGTGTACCAGAAACAGGATTTTTCTAATTCTAATTAAATGTTAGAAATACGCTTACGAACAGGTTGTCATGTGTGTTGTGTTTGCAACTTGTTAAACTAATCTATCAAATAGTGCTTGCTTCTTTAAGCGTAATTCTTAGATTGAATCATAACAGTAATATTTTAAAATTTATGTACCATTATAAAGATAAGTTTCCATAACACTGTTCATCATTACGTTGCCATGTACAACTATATATATATATATATATATATATATATATATATATATATATATATATATATATATATAACTCATGCTTAACAATATATGTCAGTCAGTAACAACGTAGAACTGCGTACGTACGTACATCAGTTCGAGTTGACATACCACAATAGCACACAGATACAATTGTCGATTTAAATCCCGTAGTGGTACAGGTAGTAAGAGTATAAGCAGTAATCGGAAATATTAGGGTTTGAAGATGTTATTCAAGGAGCATAATCCAGTGAAATAAATTTGGAAAGAAAAGAAAAATGGACATGAAGAATCCAGAAGATTAGAATTTGGGAGAACACATAAAAAACAAACTGTTTAAAACTCAAGAGATGGAACAGATTCACAATTGATATATCTAGAACTTGTGTTTCCTTCTAATTGAGACTTGTCGGTTGGATGCACCTGAATAACAGTGTTAGTAACAGATTGGCAATTGAAGCGAAAGGCACTGGGGGGTCGAGTCTTGGTGTGAACACTATCAATAGATTCAACCACATCCAAACGATGAGTAACAGATGTAAATAAACTAAGAAAAGCTTATGTCTAAATGTCGAAAGTGTGGAAATCCTCTTAATATCTACATATAAGAATAGAGATTGACCACTTGAAGTCACTGATATCAACAACGGGAAAACATAAACCATCACGATTTTAATCCTAATTATCAGCCTGAAAAATACATACTGCGACAACCCCATACAGCTTAATACCACAAGTAACATATCGATAGGAAAATGCATTTCACCAAGTAACGACAATGAAATAATACTGGTTAGTAAATTTACAGCTAAATATCGCTACTTACTTGACAGTTTTTAAAGGTTATATTACCCTTAGTGTCCCAACCTAATAACGTTAACAATCACCAGCATTTTAATTCAACTATTACAAAAATCGATAAGGATGAGGTAGACATTGATAAAAATCTATGAATTCCCAGTCTGTTAATGTTCTACTAGATTACTACTTCTGAGCAAATATTCCGAAGTTAACCCCGATATCATCTCAGTTCAGGTATACAAGAAATCAGAGTTAACATATTTGTATAAACAATTTTTGTTAAACTTTCATGGTTTATTCGTAATATTTGTAATACACAGTTATATTGATGATAATAATAATCTAATTATTAATTCTCAACTTACATTTTGCATAATTAAATTGAGGACAAGATTTCAATAGGTCATATGATGAAATAGGTTGATTTAGATCAAACAGTAAATTACTATCGTTGTTAATATTATTATGACAGGTAGAATCGAGTAATTTTAAAGGAAAACTATTCATATACAGAAGGCTACATCTATCCAAAATAGAGTTTTTCACTGAGTCACAATTATTTGCATCATTGTATTCAATCTGTGTTTGAATGCGATTGGCTAAATTCCAGAGATTAAAATGTTGTAAAGTTGGAATTAATTTTTCTGTGACTAATTTACGAATTAATTGCTTTGAATAAAATAAACAAACAGAATGAAAAATAATAATGATAATCAACAAATTCGAAGTAATTATATTTGTTTATCAGCAATATCCAATGATTATTTTTGAACGAACTCTTAACAATGTAACCGAAAATTATCAGTACTGGGTTGTAGAGATTAAGAAGTTGAAGTTAGGCATTAATACCGTTGGATGCCGGCTCAATGGTCTACAGGTTAAACGTTCGCGCGCGAGACCGAAGGTCCAAGGTTCGGATCAGGAGTGCAGGATCATGGATTCTCACTCGTACTGAAGAGTCCTATAGCAGGACTAAGCGGCCATCCAGTGCTTCCAAGTTTTCAGTGGTGGTCCAACATTGATCAGTTCATGGTATTAATTAAAAGTAACCGAAAAATTGTAACCTTAAATTAGATAAGTGTTTAATGACTTGTCAGCTCACTTAATAGACACAAATTAATGTATTTAACTTCGAATTATAGTTTAAAATACGAGGCCTAGTCATAGTCTACCTAGTTGTTTAATCTGAATGTATGACTTCGTATTAGGCTATCGAACCTTATAACCACTGTGAGCACATATCACTTCATTAGTCATTATATGGGCATAACAAATAAACAAAACAAAATACAGACCAGTGTAAATGTGAATTTCATATTTTGTATGCTTGAATAAGCAATCAATATAACTGATTTTCTTAAGTCGAATATCATGTGAAACTAACTACAAGTTAACTTATTATAACATCAAAAAGGAAACAGTTAAACTAAATCATGCCTCCCCCAAATGCTCTGGTACGGTCGACAGTGGAGTCAGTTCTCCCTCTCGAAATCCTCTCACATAGCCACGTGTATACAACCACTACCATGAAAGTCCTACTCGCTACCTTCTGGTGGTGGATGAGTTGTTTATGAAATTGAGAAGACGAAACGCGAATGTACGATGATTCAACCCGGGTTGGTGGATAGAAGGGATTCACCAAGAGGAGTTGGAAAACCCTGATTCCAAACAAATGGTGCACATGGGCTCCAGGATCCTGAGGGAACGGTCAGTCAGTCAGCTACGATGTAGGACCAGGCACATGTATGCATCGGTCCAAGTTGCCATACCTCATTAACACAACAAGATGAACACCGAATTCATAGAAGTAGTTCATTCAGTGGTGGTAATATATAAAAGAAAGATCGCATATATGGACATAGTACAGGAAGAAAGAAATAGTTCGTAGAAAGAAAGATATGAAGCGATTTTACTCTCATAGTTTAAAGGAAGACAGACAGTGTATACACCGACGCCATTGTGGTCGATTATGAGCCATATCGCCAAGAGTCTCCAACCATTGGCTACGATAGTCACGCGGACCCCAACCAAGTAGTCACCGGTCAACATAGGACTGCATTTCCTTATATGTAATCTTTCTTTTATATATTGCCATCATTGAATTGACTACTTCTGTGAATCCGGTGTTCATCTTGTTGTGCTAACGCAGTATGGCGACTTGGACCGATGCATATATGTGTCTGGTCCTACATTGTAGCTGACTGACTGACCTAACGCTGCTCCAATTCCTTGTCGATTGGACCTTTAGGTCAAAGGTTCTGATAGTGACCCTTTAACAAAACCACCTGCTTTGGTTTGGGTGACAAAGCAGTGCCCCAGTCCTCACACAAATCGAATGACATAGTGTGATGCATATGTATTTGGTGACTCCTTGTACCAATGTTTATGTGTTTGAACAAATAAAATCATGCAGAAACTAGTTAGATCAATTTTTCTGGCTAGATAATTAATTTTATAAGCATATAATACTAAATAATGCGAGATCTCTTCACATGAGTGTTTTACGATATTGATAATAAAGTTAGCTTTTATTAATATATATATAACAGTTACTTCTACTATTACTCTACAGGTTTCCGTTAATTTATCGTACTGTATCGAACTCTCGAATTCCAGCAGAAATCCTATGATACTGGAAATTGAGAGCAATTTTTAACCCAGTGCCAAATGATGAGTCTCAACTAAACATATCTATGAGGAATCAATTTACTTGACATAGTGAGGTATGAACGTAGTCGTTTACTTTAGTTCAGAGAGTACTCTCTACGGACTACCGTCTTGACCATCTTAACTCAACATGCTATCGTATTTTGAGAAGACGTAATGTAATCTACGAAGTCCCAGTTGATTGATTAGCTTGCATGGATTAGACAATTACGTTGAGCGACCCCTATTTTTATTAATGAAACTCACTATAAAATACCACTCAATACTTATTTAGCTATCTTTATGATCGAACTATCCCCAATAGTCAAGCAAGCTTCAGAGCATAGAAAGGAAGAAACGACATATTTACTTACTACCAAGAAGTTAGACAGAGAGTCTAAACCAGCCGACCTGATGTGAATCGACCCCAGCCACTGCTATAGCAACTTTGTTCAAAGAGGAAGACAAATTACTAATAATCGTATCTTCATTTCAGAGTCGAATCCGAATATGCTGAATGATTCATTTTCAGCTAATCAACGATCGTGTAAATTCACACAGAAATTCTCGTTTTTATTAATGTGAAATGTCATTTCGATGCATTGGAATAAATCGTGTTCTTAGATCAAGTCTTGTTTTCATTAGAGTTAAGTCGAGTAGTTAAGACATGCTAAACAGAAAAATATATGACATAGATATCTTTCCACCTTAATTTTTTAAAGAAATCTTTTTACTAGAAATGAATAAATTTATTCGAGTGAGATGTTAATTCCTTCATAAAGGTACATTCGCACGATTGTGAACCAAGTACATTATAATGGTTACTAATATAAGCTGTGAATTGGATACAAACAAAGGTTTCTAATATTTTCAACACTTTAAAGGCAGTTGAACAAATTTCGACAATACTTTTACACCATATCTCTTTGATTACATTATCTAGTAGGGAGATAAAGTGACCAAATACACACGTTCGCATGCAGAAATATGAGCTACATAGACTGTGAATCTCATGCATATTAAGCTGTCCAAGATTAAATAGAGCATTTAATTACTGGTTCAATCCATAAGAATCAAGTACATAAGCCAGTAGTTTGCATTTTCACTGATCTCAATGTTTATTATATAATCAATCATAAAACTGACTGACTGATTGAATAATAAAACTTACAGCATTAAACTTAACAGTATCAAAATTCGCTGGATATGATCGTTTGAGAGGAGAACCACGATTTTCTAAATTTCGAATTATATTGATTGAGAAAAAGTGAAAGAGGCCACGACGACAATTCGATGCACACCATAGAAAATCTTCAAAATCTTTCATGCTTGAATCACTGTTTTTTAAGTGTGAATTATTACTGTTCATAAAAATACCAATAGGATTAATAGTATTACATCCTATCAATTCATTTAAAAGATTTTTCCAATTCATAACAGCAATTGGATGTGAGCATATAGTTGAAATAATGTTGAATATGATATCTGATAGATTTTTATTTTAAAAAAATGAAACAGAACTGAATAATAATAATAATAATAATAATAATAATAATAATAATAATAATAATAATAATAACGTATAGGTAGTTAAATCAACTGTTTTAGACTTGAATAGACTAATACTAATGTAAAAGGACAATGCTTGATTCGGTTCATGATTAGGTAATGCAAACTGAGTACTACATATTCTATATATAGAAAATTATTATCGTCAAAAGTGACAACAGAGACCCTAATTCCCGAAACGTCCAGTGTTGTATTTTGCTTAGATATAGAGCATTAATTAGATAGTCAATATCAAATAATGTGATAGAATTAATTCCCAGTGATCCCATGTAACATCAGAATGCTGATGTTGGAGTGAAGCTCCAGTTGGTTGACTTAGATGATTTGAAGGGGTCGGAAAAAAGAACGCCGGACCTGTTTCATGCCATTGGTCACTCGTTAACGACGTGTACATGTAAAGTCTCAACATAGTCAACGTGATGTCGAGTCACTTAGACAAGTGGAGAAATTGCAGTTTGATCGATAGAATTCAATCAGCACTAAAAGATTTGAACATGATATTGGCTACTACTTAATGACCAATCAATTGTAAATATCTCAGTCATATAGGAGGCCTGCCGAAACACTAATAGCTTAGTGGTAACGTTTGAGATTACGTACCTGAGAGAAAGGGAATTGGACCAACTATGGGGAAAGTTACATCAATGTCACAGATATACCTTGCTGATGAGTAACAGCGGATAAGAAAGCTAGATCATTAGATTCCTGTTGACTGCCTCTAACTACCTAACAGGTATACTATTTGATGAATATGGATTTTAGAAGTAAATTGTCGACAGTATAAGCTTACTAGAAGCATGGATAAAAACCAGACCTAGTGATTTGCAAAAGGTAGAGATAAGATTGAAGAAAAGTAAAGAGCAGAATAGGCTTTTTCTATAGTAAAATAATATACTTAAATACTAAATATTAGCAACGAAAATAGATATCCTTAGAAGCTAATTGAAATATAAACGATTAGAATATCCCAATTTCGTAGACCAGTCGAATGTTAATGAAATTAGGACTTGACCATAAATATTAAATATTTAGTCAAGTTTGAGTATTTACAAAGTGTAGGAATACCATGAAAACCCTTTAAAAGCAACTTGGTAATTAGTACATCATCCTCTCTCTCCATTATTCGAAAAAACAGGTTCAGGTAGTTTCCCACTATCTATATTGTATATTAATTATCCCTCAGTGTTCCGAAAACAGCTAGTATAGATGTTACTGATTGAATGATTTTCATCTGGAACGTGAAAATGAAAGTTTACTATGTGACGATATATGAGTACGCAAAATAACATTTAATCACTCCGAAAAAATGTAAGTATGACATTTACTTTCTAAAGAGCGGGGTGCAAAATAATCCTAATGAATAGCAGAAACCAGAACCTGCACATGCACTTGATAAATAGTCCTCAATAATCGATAAGTTTACATGTGTAGGTAACTATATAAATGTTAATGATTAAGTAACAGATGAGATCGATTCCTATATACTAAAAGCCATGACAATTTATTGTATTTTAAACTATCTTCGACGCTGTCGCGACAACGGCCCAGTTATAAAAAATCCAACGCACAATACTGCTATCCAAGCGGCTATTTTTTACACTTGAGAAACTGATATGTGGTGATGAGAGTAAGATACGATTGGTCACTGAGTGTGGTCAAACAGGTACTTAGCCTACGGACTATTAAATATGTGATTTCCTCTCCTGTTATTAATTTCCATTTCGGACTGACTGAATGTGACTGCCTGTAACTGTGTCATCTGGCTCTCTATTCTGTGTTGTGAATTCTGGATCTGATACAACGCGACCAGTATCAGTACTGTATAACGTCTAATAATAACTTAGTACATCTGAGTTAACATAGCTCGAAAATCATGTGTCCAATCACAATTTTCTCTAAAGAATCGCCAATGTTCGACGACTATTATATAGATAATCGTAAGGCTAAGCTACATTTGTTCCAACATTTTTCTCATCACGATTCGACAAATGATATCATTCAGAAACACAAACTTTGAGCAGATAGACACGTCCTAGATATATTGCCCCAACTCCCAAACTTAACACTATATACTGACTATGAGATAGTGAAAAGAGTAGAGGTAGTCAGTTTATATTATGACCTCACGAACCAAAGGATATTTGTCTTCAATCAGTATTTAGTCAATATATACGTTAATAGCATGTTAATTAGTTGAATAATTACCATTCTCAGAAACTCCAAGCCCTTTTAAAAACATCTTCGAATGATCAACGTCTTTGGAGACCGATTGACAAGGGGTAGTTACGGTTAGTGGATTTTCTGTCTCCAAAACGATACTAGAACAAAAGGAAATTTTGTTTAGTGCACCAAAATCAGATTCATCGTTATTTTTATTTTTCAAGCTCTCGTATGTTTTGTCTAACAAATCAAACAAGTGGCCGTAATCTTCTTTTAATATATTCAGAAAACATCTGAATACTTTTTGGATTTCCGATCGACGTAGTAAACAAGCAATTAAACATCTTACTCCTGCTCTTCTGCCTTCTCTTTGGGAAGTCGATATAATTGATTCATAATCAGTAGGAGTGATTAATGGAGGAGTAGTAGCAGTAAGGTGATCAATAATATCCATACTATCCAAATCTGACACAAGAGCGGGTAAATTTCTCATTATTGCTAGTTCTTCACAGGATAACATCTTTAGAAAGCTAGAAAGAATGAAAAATGGTCAGCCAAAACGGGCTTATATACACGTCATTGAGAGAGCAAATGTTCATAAGAACAAATTAACGTGACCTAACATGTTGTAAAAAATCCCAGGGTTGTTTATACATGAAAATATTGACTATTCGTTTTAAAATCTATGGAAAAGAACGCAAAAGACTGCAAAAGACACATGAAAAAATACTTTTACTTCCTCCAGAGTATTTTATATCTAAGCTGTATTTGATACTTATTTATATAAACGTCGTGTAAATGTTAATGTGAACTTCAATGCACAATAAAGCCTCAGACCTAAAAAATCCTGATTCATAAATCAAAAATATGTTATATGACATGACAATTCTAAAAAACTCCCTTTCATAACCATGCGTTGACTAAGTGCTGAAAATGAGGAAACTAAACGATCATTTAGTCTGATTTTAAGAAGAGCAATCTTATTTACGTTTTAGACCAAAAGCAGCAAAAACTGTCTAGTAAAATATAGCCTTCATTCAAGTGATCAGTCCCTTATAGTAATAAAAGCACTCAACTCTCAAGCATTAGGTCAGCCGGTTGGAAAACTCGTCCATATATTTCGCTCTTGTTTAAAAAATGTAGGAAATCAATTTATTTATTGATACCATAGTTAAGTCAAAACTATATACACATCTTGTCAAATTAAAACTGTGGCTAACCATCAGTTGTCTATTCATTTCCCCTGTTGTTGACGTAAATCCGAGTTGAACCTAAGTTAAGATTATACTAAACACCATACACGCATCTGCAAACAATTAAGAGACTAAACTCTGCCTTTCAAAAAAAAATCGGTTAAGTGTTTGTTTCAAATTAAGTCTTTACATCTGACGATACAAAAATAACATATTCGATCGAAAAATTTACCATCAAACTATCCAAATATAAACCCGATCAGTAGTTCACTATCTTCCATTGCCAGATTAGTGTTTAATTTAAAAATTATTTCACTTACAATATGTCAGAAACAATTAATGTTTACTGTAATATAATTGATAGTAAAAAAATTCACTGACATTTCTTACTCATAGCAGTTCAGTCTTATGATGTAAATTGTAAATATCCATTAAATTAATGGTTAGTTATTGTCAAGTTTTTCCCAGTTCAATATGTTTAAATTTAACTATTGATGAGTATGAGTAAAAATATAAAACTCCGTGTACATTGAAAAGTTTCTGACCTATCTTGGGGGCATAGCAAATTTCCATCTACAGTTCTAGTATTTTTCATTTATGTCAAACTATACCACTTTTATTCAGTTATAACAAGAATTAAAAAAATAAACAAGCTCAATCGTCTAGGTTAAGATAGCTGGACAATAATTCCACACATTTTATCGTAGATGTTTCAGACTACACCACCTCGTATGCCCGCTGTTGAGTTTGCAGTATAAGTACTTAGTACTTCTTGAGCGGGAGCTCAATTTCTGGGCATTTCTAACGTGGGCAGTTAGCCGGTAAACCTTTGAACTACTGTGGCAATTCAACTCTTAAAAACCTGTGATCACGGAAATCTGTTTTTCCAAAATTGCTTCCTCACGAGCAACTTTTAAGCTTTTATGAACTCGTTTCGCGAACTTCTTTTGTAGTAGTGCATGCCCCCGATAATTTGATAAAGAACAACTTCGAGTTTTGTTCCTGAATATAAAAACGATTCGCTAGGACGCAATTTTTTAAGTGGTTGGATTTGTAATTTGGCAGACTGTTTGTTTTTTAGCACTGATTTTATTTCACCAAGTTTTTTTCTATAGTACCAGAGTTCTTCGCCTCGATATTGGACAAATATTTTACGTGTGTCTGTTTTTTTGTTCTAGGCATATTGATACTTAAAAGTTTTCTGGCAGACTCTCCATTAATGTAATGAGCAACTCGATTAATTGGATGGAATTGACGCTGAAGTACATCCCGCAACGAGATGTGTATATTCTCAGCTCAATTAGCTTCTAACTAACTGTAGCCGCCCAATTAAACGCTTTGATACAACTAATCAATTAATCAATAATTTCAAACCATAGGTTGTTTCTATCTTACCGTGTTGTTGTTAGGCAAGGTAAAAACGGTAATCCCTTTCAAATCTGTCCGCCGTTTCGTTTCAACGACCTTGAACGCTTTGACTGGAAGCGGGCATTCCGTATTTCAATTGCCGTGTGTGTGTTGGGTCCTATGAGTATTAAATGTTTCCATATAAAAGTCATATTTTGATGCATAATAAACACTAAATAGCTGCTAAGAGCATTAACTGAGTATTTTCTGTTTTGTAGTGCACACTTTAGCTCTGTTGTTCCTTCGAAACTTGATCTGTGGTCCTAAGTGCTGTAGTGAAAGTCAACAGCTATATATAATTTGTTGATAAGGTCCAGAAAACAACGTAAGAAAGATAAAATAACGTAAAAGGTTATAGATGCGCCTAGTTTTTGTGAGTTAAGACGAAATGTCAACTGAAGGGTAAGTCCTAAAAATTGTTGTTCTTCCTTCAGTTAATTTTTTTCAAGGAATAACCTTTTTTTAATAACTATTTTATGTTGTCTCTAGTGCTTCATGCTCAAGTGAAATTTCAGTGAACGTCAGCGACGCGTTCCAACGTATTATGCTGAACAAGAGATTCGGAAGCTGGATTGAATTAGATAATGCGCTAAAGGATTTCCATAAAGTATGATAGGATAAATCTATGTTTTCTCAGATGACCCATACACACTACGTTCACGCAGAAAGTAGATTGTTGAAGGATGTGAGATATAAATACTTGTTCGTAGTGTTTCGTTGCACGTTTGGTCGTAAACGTAAATCAGAAGGTACCTCTAATAAATATAACTTATTATGGCTAAATACAAACAAGTTATATAATATTCACAATTAGGTTAACGCTTGATTGCTTCTACTTACATTTTATAAACAACTACCGACATCCATGTTCACCGTCACCGCAATCAAGGAGGTGAACCATATGTAAAAGATTTTACGGTTCATTTTTATGAAAACTCAATCTGTGTTGTATTTTTTGACTAGAAACACGGTGAACTTTACTTGCTTGAGTTTGTATTGTTACAAATAACTATATTAAGCTAACTTCAGATTTACTTACGTGGTGAGCAAGAAATACGTCAAACTGCCAATAAATTGGAATAAAAACTATGTTACAAGCACTAGCAATACAGGAATTGATGTGTCATGCAAAAAAGCCTGTTAATAGCTGATAAATAACGGCACAAAAAATCCACGACAATATGTAACGTGTGCGCGAAAATCCGTGGCTTACCCGCCAGTCCGTGCCTTGTTGTTACATCCCTTAATTTCGATAACACCGCCAGAGAAATCTCGGTAACTTGTACGTGTCTTGTAACGTCATTAATATCAATTTTTATGTCTTCTAAGACAGAAAGATATTTCGATGAATAACCACAGTTATCACAATTATGTTTGTTTTAGTTTAAGAATTCTTCTTTTACATAACCCTTCGGGTTACTGTCAGCATAGCGATGTGAATGATGTTGGTACCATTCATAAATCAGTTTCAGTTTGGGAAGGACAGGAGGCTCGATGGCCTATGTTAGTCCTAGCAATGGTGGTCTCTCAGTTGATCCAACCTTCTTTTGAAAGAGTCGACGGATGGAGCCTCAACCACGTGCTGAGGTAGTGAATTCCACTCGTTGATGATTCGATGGGAAAGTCGATAGTCAGCTGACAAGTAATTTGTTCTCGGCTTATGAACTTTTTTGGAGTGTCCTCGTAAATTCTCTGTTTTGGAAGACAAGAAAAATGAGGGCATGTTAGATGCAAATTTATCACTAAGCAATTTGTAGACTGTAATCAAGTCGCCTCTAGTTCTGCGATATGACAACGGGAAAAGGTTCAGCTTGGCCAGTCGAGATTCATAAGGGAGCTTTGCTATTCCGGGAATCAGCTTAGTTGCCTTTCTCTGGACCTTTTCCAGAAGCTCACTGTCTTTTTTTAAGAAGGGTCTGGCCGCTTGTATGCAGTACTCAAGTTTAGGACGTACGAACACTGTATATAAAGTCAAAAACGTCTTAGCGTCGACATGACTAAAAGCCCCACGTATTGACCATAACGTTCTAAAACCTTTAGTGGCTATTGCACGGCAGTGTGCAGTAGTCTTTAAGTCTTGGCTAACGATGACTCCTAAGTCATTATGTGTCCGGACGACAGGTAGTTCAGTGTTATTCATCGTGTATGTATCTGTGCCTTGATGACCGATATGCATCACAACACACTTGGAAGCATTTATCGGCAACTGCCATGTTTGATACCATTCAGATAATTTCTTCAGGTCATTTTGAAGTTCTAAGCTATCACTCTTACATCGTATCGTTCTCCACATCTTGACATCGTCAGCATATAGCAAGACCGATGATGATAGGAGACAAGGAAGGTCATTTACATACAAGAGGAATAGCACTGGCCCCAAAACTGTACCCTGGGGCACTCCACTAAGCACAGTTTCCCAGCTAGACAACTTGGAGTTCACCCTTACTCTTTGTTGACGCCCAACTAAGAAGTCTTTTATCCACATCAATAAATTGCCTCGTATTCCGACATTTCTTAACTTATATAACAGCCGGTTGTGCGGAACTTTATCAAAAGCTTTGCTGAAATCAATGAAGGCGACGTCTACAGGTAGCTTTTGGTCCTTAAGAGCACACCAGCTTTCACGAGCCACTAATAAGTTAGGGAGACAAGAATAACCTATTCTGAAACCGTGCTGCTTCTCCGAAGGGATCAGGTTTTAATTGAGGTACTTAAACGGCTCCTTCCGAATAATCTTTTCTAAGATTTTAACAACCATACTAGTTAGGCTAACGGGACGGTAGTTCTCAGGTTTGTGTCTCGTGCCAAACGTACATTTGTTATTATTCCCAAGTTATTAAATATTTAGCTCAATTGGAAAGAGACAAAATAAGTGCAGCTCTGACCATATTATTTAAGAGCACTAACGTTAACATGCACATGTTCACTCATACATGCCTTATTAAATATTTCCTTTTTCATAACTCATCAATAGGATGCCTTTTATCACATATGTCAGAATTTTGCTTGTTCTTAGAACATAACTGCATCATGTGACCTGTACTATCCTCCCTTAGAAGTCTAGTTACTGGCTAGACAAAACTCTGGGTAACTGAGATAACTTAATTTGCTCATCATCACAAAAGTGTTAAAAACCCATGGCTATCTCGCTGATCAATATTATTTAAATAGCTAGTCAATTCACCAGAACTTCAGGACTTGAAAGAAGAAAAGATGTATTAGCTGATAACAGATGACGCTGAAAAAGGAAAAGAATAACTCATTTCCTTGCTGAATACTTACTGACATAGACAATCTCACGCCTATGTGCATTTATTCAGAGCCAGTACTATTTACTTGCTTTTAAGAGTACTCCAAAAATGAGATACGTATTAGACCTAATTGGTTACTTCCGTAGAATTAAAGACAACTCATGCCATTACTGGGCTTATTTATGTTGCTAGATCGATAATTTTGCACTAATGTAGTAGACTATGGATGATATAACTGCTTATCCTACATTACTTCACAGCAAAACTGCATCATTGTCCATCTTGGCCTATCCCAGGTCTTGTGAGAACATTTATTTGTGTATGTATTTCTGAGAGTAGGAAAAACATTATGTTTGCATGTGTGACATTTTGTTCCTCCTTAACTACTAAGTTTTTCGTCTCATACATTAATTTTATATGCATCATATTTCGTTTTTAACACAGGATAAAGTTGATTCTCATATCTACTTACGACTGCATTTCTCCACTTGTTCAACTTCTGTCTTTGTATTCCATGGCGATAGCTACTTCCATTTAATGATTCTTTTTCACCAAAGTTCTCTGAACTTCGACTCCATTCCTTTGAAATGACTGATTTGGGTCATCCTTTTTCTTGTTTCAATATAGATCAGTTTGAAGAAATTGCAGACAGAATATCATCAAGAATTTTTTCTGGAAATACAGTATATATGGAATATATGGAAACGCCTAGAAGACCTAATTGCAATGCTAGTTCTGTTGTCAACAAGAAAAACAAAAGTCTGTGTAACACGACTATAATTACTACTTCAATGAAAGTTGATGAATGGGTACAATCGAGAATAAGATATAACTCAATGTTGCTAAAAGGAAACCAGTACACCAAAAAGTAGCCGGAAAATTATAGGCTGATCATAGTGACAGGTCAGTTATCTTTCATAAATTTAAGGAGAGCGAAGGCTCAGAAACCAAAACTCCTTTCAAGAATGAAGTGAACTTGATAAAAGAGCTACTGACCGGCTAATGCCTCAGGATATCTATAGTAGTGCCTAAACCTCCCAATGGAAGAGACGACACTACACAGTCAACATTAGCTAAAGTGGTTAACGGTCTTTGTCTGTAAATACTTGCCGCCCGCAGACGGTGTAAAAAGGTGAGAAGTCAAAAAGTACTAAAACTTAGATTAGGTGCTGGCGGGAAGGACCTTAAAATTGCACATTTTCAGATAGTAAGGCTATGACGGAGAATGATGCTGAAGCCACTCTACATGAGGTATAGAGCCATTTAAATAGCCTTCGGATCTGTTACACAAAAGCTCGGAGTTTGCTTGATAAGCGATCAAAGCTAAGTGTATAAATAGACTTTACTAAGCCGGATGTAATCTCGGCAAGAGAAACATGTCTGGCTCAGTTGGCAAACAGTAGAGAATTGATTTTGAAGGTTTCTTATCATTAAGAGCCGACAGAATACAGAAGCGTAAAGGGGGAGTAGCTCTTTTCTTTAGAAATACTACCCCACTTACCGCTATCGATAACATCCTATGAATATGGAACGTGCTAATTAGTTATTTGCCACTTGAAATGCAAAAGATGAAGGCTGCCAATTGGTTTGGTTCACCTAGGCCTAAACTGTGAGGTGAATGAGTTCTTGCGAGATGGTTTCAACACTTGATCTTCCAGTGGTCGATGTTAAACTTAGGGGACTTAAGTGCGTCTACGGTACAACGGAAAAATCTGAGAATCAAGTTTTCAGAAAATTCACGAGTCATAGAGCAACATGTG